AGCAGAGTAAAATGTGACAGACACTGGCGAACGGTGAGCCTGGTGAGCCTTTGTGCTTTTCTTGCAACTTTTCTATAGGCTTCAAAATCAAATATTTTTTTGCAACTTGACTTTTGAACTGGGCTCCCAAAGTAGCCGGGTTTTTAGCTCTTCTGCATGTTTAAAGTAGCTGAGCTGGTTGCCTATCTAAAACTTGCTGTCTTCAAAAAGATGTTCCCCTCCATGCTTTCTTCTGTGTGACCTTCCGGGCTGCTCCTCTCCCCCACCTCCCTCTCTCTGCAGAGAATGCTGTTACTTTTCATTATTATTAACAGCTAATTTATGACATAGCGGGTGGTGTGTGCCTTTCACTTGCACAAATCATCTGTGGTGGAAAGGGAGGCTGGGGTTCCGAACAGTGGTGCCCGGGTAGCCCAGGGTGGTGACTGCAGAGGCCACACTCTGTCCCCTCTGCCTCCGGTCTTCTTTGGAGCGGAACCACTGCACAGCGGTCTCTGTCACGTCTTACATCACACTGGCCTCCTGGGTGCGTAGGTACAGTCGAATCACCTCTTCTAATAAATTACCGCAGCTGGTTAAAGCAGAGGTTGTCTTTGGTTCTCTTTGGCTCTTGCACACCATGCAGTGTCCTGCCGGGGCTGAGTAGGTAACATGGACTTAATGATTCCATGTCTCAGAAAACATGGAAAGAGAACCAATAGCCTCAGTTTCCAGGGATCCGAACATGAGTTTCGTCCTCTTTCTTCCAACTTAGTTGAACCTAAGTCTTCGAACTACCTTTTATAAAGCCCTTCCTCACTTTCTGTGTTTTAAGCAGAAGGCCTGCCTTCTGTGGGGTGATGGGAAGTCAGGCCTTGAGATGGGAAGACCGACGGATAACTTCATCTTGAACCTTACACCGTGTGTCTGTGAACATGGGGTAGAAACTCCACAGAGAGCAGCTTCGCCAAGTTCACCACTTGCCCACAAGCCCGTCTTGGCTCTTCCCTGTCTCCTCAGAGGACTGAGGCTGTGTTGAGCTGTTCTCGAAATATTTTCACCCATCCACAGTCAGCATTAGGTGGCACGGGTGCACTTGTCATCTGGTGAGCAGACAGCGTTGACAACTGAGAAGCAACTATTAGCATGGCCTTGACTTATTAAAAGCAGTACATAAAAAATAGCCAGTGACTTAAATATATCTCCTTTTCTAAAAAGATTAGTCAACTGTTCTGTAATGGGTACCTTGCAACCATATATAAGCGGACACCTATTTTTAGAATTTATCTTAAATGATCATTTAGCCCAGCAGGCTATTTACATCTGGTCCACATGCGTCTTTAGACAACTGAATTATACTTCTGCTCTTGACCAAGAGGTGGGGGCATGGAAAGGCTGCCGGGCTGGGAGGGGCGCGCATGCGCTTGGAGAACAGGCTCGGAAAGCACCGAGGGGCCGGTCCTGCGGCCTTTTGGGGGAGGGCGGGCGAGTATCAAACCCTGAGCATCCACCTCTGGGGGGCCAACACCTGTTTTCCTAGTCAAGTCCCGCTTTCTCCGCACCTCCTCTTAAAGAAGGAAGGATGACTTTTTCTAGAAATGGATAGTGATTTTAATAGCATTATTAAGCCTGGCCAGTGTGGCTCAGTGGTTGAGCATCGACCCTGCACCAAGAGGTCTCCTGTTGGATTCTCAGTCAGGGCACATGCCCAGGTTGTGGGCCCGATCCCCAGCGGGGGGCATGCAGGAGGCGGCCAAACGATGTTCTCTCTCATCGATGTTTCTCTCTCTCTCTCATGTCTTCTCTCTCTAAAATCAATAAAGGGAAAAAAATTTTTAATATATGATGACAGAGTATGGCTGCTGGGAAGGGTGGAGAACCAGCAGCAAAGAACTCTCCCCTGCTTCAGAGTTGGGGTGTGGAGTAGGGAGTGCTGTGTGCCCTTGGCCCTAATACCCCTGGCCTCCTGCTCCCCAGCCCACCCTTCTCTCCTAGACCCTGCCCTTGCGTGAGGAGCAAATGCATGCTTCTTTTATACCGTCCCTGGGCGGTGCGTCGGCCTGTCAGGCAGCCAGCGATGGCCAGAGATCCTAGCCTAAGCCAGTCCTCCAAATTCTTTCCCGACTGATAATGATCATTACTAAGGCCAGAGAGGAGTGAACATTAGACCTCTTAGTCGTACACGTTCCCCCCTGGTCTTCCATGCAACACATAAATAAAGACACGCCTCCAAAGCATGTTACAGTTCTTAGAATCTGATGAAGACGTGTTTGGTCCTTGAGAATTGTTCTTACCTGTCACAGAAACAGAGGAGGAAGGGAAGTTATTTCATAATTGGTTCATGTGTTTTACCCTAGTGTTCAATTCATTTAACAAGACGTTTAAACTTAGCAAAGAGAGGTTTATTTAAGAATGAATAGCATATTTTAAAAGTTGGATGAGAAATTGCAGCAGATTATTTTAACCACAGTTTTAAAATATCAACCAATTTAGCATCATTTTTTTTTCTTTTCAAAATCCCAAACCCTGGTCAAAGTCCATGCTGCTTCCATCAGGAGACCTGAGAGTGCGCACCAAGCATCAGGGTGACCCACGGAGAAGAGAGGACACTTTTTCCCTTTAAAAATGGGTAATTTCTAGCAAGTCCACGACACTCATACCGTGAACATTTTAAAACGCTGTAAGCCTTTTCCCATATTTGAGTTCCGCAATGCCTTGACCCCCATTCACAAAGTGAGGTACAATACTAATAAAACTCACCATACCAAGGAAAGTGGGGTTTCAGTTATGGAATTATCAGGTGCAGAAAGAGCCCACCCAAAAAAACCAGTGTTTTTTTTTTAATTACAAGTCTGCGTGTGACACAGAGATGCTTCCCGAACCTAAGCTGTTTTTAATGAAAAGTGAGCAGACCTCTCAGTTCGCAGCTGTTAGAAAAGCTGTTAGGAGAACCCATGAAGGTCTGATGACTCCGTAGTCTCTGAGCCTGGGGAGGAGTGGGGAGCAATAAACAGAGGCCGGGCCTCCAAATGTGCTCGTGCTACCTGTGTGCAGTAGATCCTGGTTGTACTGCACACACCTTAAAAATTCCTGAGAAGGCCCTGGCCAGTTTGGCTCAGCGGTTAGAGCGTCGGCCTGCGGTCCGGAGAGACCCGGGTTCGGTTCCCGCTAAGGGCACGTACTTCGGTTGCAGTTTGTCCCCGGCCCTGGTTGGTCGTGCAGGTGGCAGCCACTCGATGTGTCCCTTCACGTCGATGTTTCTGTCTGCCTCTCCCTTCCTCTCCCTCCCTCCCACTCTATCTATACAAAAAATGGAAAAATATCCTCGGGTGAGGATTAAAAAAAAAAAAAAAAATTCCTGAGAAGGTCCAAAACATACCCCCCTACCCACCCACTGGAATGGGTGCTCGCACGTCCCACCAGGATCAAAGAGCAAGCCCGCTGCTGACTGCCTGATGAGTCAGCACCTGTCCCTGCGGGAGGCCTGGGACCCGGAGACGCTGTCCTGGGTGGGCGAGGGATGTAAAGACCAGTGCTAGGTGAGGGGCCGTGAGTCCTGTCTCTGGGGACCCCCTCCCTTTGCAGAGCTGCCATCGTCCCCCCACATCGACCTGGGGGCTGAGGCCTGCTGCAGCCGGCAGGCCCTTCCAGCCTCCCTTGCTGGCTGGGGCTTTAAAGGGCATCTGTTGATGCTATTCCGACAGCAATGGGAGTCACCCGCTTTGGGAGTCTTCCATCTGGACGGGAGCCCCTCCCCTTCTCCCGACTGAGGTCACCTGCTAGACAGCATGTGTGCTGGACTCTTCCTGATCTCAGGACAACGGAGCCATCTGACCGCCAGGGCAGCCACCCAGGGAAACCGACCTGGGGCTCTGCCCAGCCGACAATTGTGACCGTGTGTCTGGGTCCTCCCGGGGTGAGTCTCAGCCGAAGGGAGCAAGTGGCTAGATGGGGTGTGTGTGGGGCCGCACTTCCTGCTCCCCTTCTTCCCTGTTCTCTCCGATCCTATCATTCCAGTTGCCTCTTAGCCTCCACCACTGCTCAGCTGCCCTTTCTAAATGTGCTTCCGGGGAGGACAGGGGCCCAGGTGTAAGGGAGTTCACTGGAGGAGCCCGTGTGCTCGGCCTGTGCCTTCTGGGCGCAGGCTCCACTGGGAACCCGGGTTTGAAGGCGATGCAGGATCTGGCCTGACTGGACATGGCCTCTTGCTGTGTCTTTGCTGGTGTTGGGTGGAGGGAAACATGACAGGGTTTGTGTGTGTTTGAAGGCATGGTTGAGCATTGCTTTTTTAAAAAAAGAGAGAGAGCGAGAGAGAGAGAGAGAAAGATCCCTGCCTGGCCAGTGTGGCCCAGTGGATTGAGCGTGGTCCCATGGACTGAGAGGTCCTGGTTCGATTCCCAGTCAGGGCACATGCCCGGGTTGTGGACTCCATCCCCAGTAGGGGGCGTGCAGGAGGCAGCCAATCGATGTGTCTATCTCTTTTTCCCTAAAAAAAAAAAATCAATAAAAATGTATTTTAAAAAAATAGAGCACCCTGCCAGTTTGGCTTAGAGGTTAGAGCATTAGCCCACAGACCAGAGAGTCACGGGTTTGATTCTGGCCAAGGGCACGTACCTCAGTTTCGATTTGATCCCCGGCCCTGGTAGGGATCATGTGGGTGGCAACCACTCACTGTGTCTCTCTCACATTGATGTTTCTCTCTCTCTCTCCCTCTCTATTTGAAAATCAATGGAAAAATATCCTCGGATAAGATTTTTTTTAAAAAGATCCCTGAAGGAGACCTAAAGTGCCTGTAAGTGTGTCTAATTTATTAGTCTGTGTGTCGCAGGAGGTAGGTATCTGGGTTTCTTCACCTGAGAGCAGAACCCTTTGGCTTAGAGAGAATGTGGCAGGAGGCAGCTTCACAAGCATCTAACGGCCTGTGACTCACTCCCCGGAGCTCCTGTCACGCGGCCCCTTGCCCAGAGCTCAGTGCTCTGTCTGAACCTGCCTGCGTTTGCCGACTGTCTCTTGCCTTCCAGGACTGCCGGCCAGACTCCCCGAAATCATGCTGGTGGGATCTCAGTCCTTCTCGCCGGGAGGGCCCAATGGCATCATTCGAAGCCAGTCATTTGCGGGGTTCAGCGGCCTTCAGGAGAGGCGGTCCAGGCAAGTCGGTGGGGTTCCCCCAAGGTCCAGGCAAGTCGGTGGGGTTCCCCCTGGGATGCTGCTGAGAAGGAGGCAAGCTTTTATGCTGTGAAGAGCCTCTGCGTGCACACACAGCCTTGTCAGTGCATGTGCACACACACACATGCACATACTCACACACACGTGCACACTCTGGCACACACTCACATGTGCACATGCTCACATATGTGCACGCGCGTGCACACACACGCTCACACACTCAGACACATGCATACTCACACATGCACACGCACACACACACATGCTCACACACACACACTCACACATCTTACTTTAATCTCTGTGTTGAAAATGATGTAAGCCACCACAGTGAGGCACGATCATTTCTTTCTATCATTTAGAATTTCTCCTGCAAAGGAGATGGCTGAAGATTTAGGAAAAGCTACCAATATGTGGGTATGACTCTCCCTACCTCCACTTCCACTCTGTTTTTGTTGTTGTTAATCCTCACCTGAGGATATTTTTTCCATCATATTTTTTAGAGAGAATGGAAAGGAAGCGAGGGAAGAAAGGAGAGAGAGACATCAAGTGGTTGCCTTCTGCACGACCCTGACCAGGACTGGTGATTGAACCTGCAACCCAGGCATATGCCCCTGACCAGGAATTGAACCCAAGACCCGTTGGTCCAAGGGCTGGTGCTCTAACAACTGAGCCACTGGCAAGGGTTCCACTCCTTGTTTTTTAAAAATATGTTTTTATTGATTTTTTAGAGAGAGGGGGTGGGAGAGAGAGAGAAAGAGCGATGTGAGAGAGAATCATCGTCGGCTGCTTCCCGCACGCCCCCTACTGGGGATTGAGCCCTCAACCCGGGCAGGTGCCCTGACCAGGAATTGAACGGGGCCTCTCAGTCCACGGGACGATGTTCCATCCACTGAGCCGCACCGGCGGGGCTGTTTCTAGGTCTTTTGACAAATATCACCAAAGAGCCTCCGGTGTCTGAACCTGCTTGTCCTCTCCCAGCAGCGACAGATGTGCCTTTTCCCGCACATTTGTTAGTACTGAGCATTTTCTAAAAATCTTTTTTTTTTTTTTTTTTTTTTAATGTCATCCCTTGTGAGGTCAAACATCCCTTCCTAAGTGTTTTCCCTTTTGTGTTTACTTTGGGAATAACCAGGTCACCTGTGCCTGTTTTGGGGTAGAGGGTTGCACATTTTCTTACAGAACAGTAGAGGCTTTTTGTATGTCCATGGCAACACCCGATGCTGTCCTTTTCTCACTGGTTTGAACCCTACCGCTTTCTCTGCTCCACTTCACCCACTCAGCTCAGCACCTGGCGCCACCCCTGGGGGCCACCAGTCCATTCTCTGCATCCGTGAGCTTGGTTCGTGTGTGTGTGTGTTTAACTTATACATATAAGTTAAATCACGATATTTGTCATACTCTACCTGACTTATCTCACTCAGCATAATACCCTCTAGGTCCACCCATATTGTCACAAATGGTAAGATGTCATTCTATTTTATGTTTGAATACTATTCCATTCTGTATATGTATATGTACACGTCAGTTAGTTTATTCATTCATTCATCTCTTGACACTTAGGTTGTTCCCACATCTTGGGTATTGTAAATAGCACTGCAGTGAACACAGAGTTGCATCAGTCTTTTTGAGTTAGTGTTTTTGTTTTCGTTGGAAAAATACCCAGAAGTGCTATTGCTAGATCATGGCCGCCTCCCAGCCACTCACAGAGACGTCGGGCTTTCTGTTATATCTGAACATAACTTACTCCATGAAAACAAAGTTTAAGAAAAAGCTGTCAGTCCAGCTTCACATGCTTTTCTTTAACACTCTACAGAATCAGCCATTTGTCATGCTTACACCTCTTCCCGAGACAGGCATTCATTCACACCCTAGTCTAATTTAATAGACGCTTGTGCCTGATGTTGTTAATGTACATGTTTTAGTTGGTTTATCTCCTTCTGCCTGTTTCTTATTTCCACCTGACTGCGTGTCCTTGGCTTCCTGTGGGGCCTTGGTGACGTGGTATGTTTTCATTCAGAGGGCATGTCACCTGAAGCCAGGCTTTGACTCGAAAAAGCCACTGCCCAGTGATACGTCCAGATTTCAGCTGTTAGAGCTGATACCAAGAAACACAGTGTAGGCTGGCTCAGATGTGTCAATACACAGGGAGTGCTATCTTTCCCCCAAAATGCAAGAGGGTGCAGAGGTGTTTCTGTCTTCAAATCCCTCTGGATGCCTGGGCCACACTTTCGGCTTGCTTTCTTCACAGGTGCAACTCCTTCATTGAGAACACTTCTGCTCTCAAGAAGCCTCAGGCCAAACTGAAGAAAATGCACAATTTAGGACACAAGAATAACAGCCCCCCGAAAGAGCCTCAGCCAAGGAGGGTGGAGGAGATCTACAGGGCCCTGAAAAGCGGCCTTGAGTAAGCGGGACCCAGCCCTGAGCTGAACCTTCTTTGTTTCTAAAGTGCCGGGGGGTGGAGCTCAGAGGGAAAAACAAGTCTCGTGAGATCATTTTAAAGTCTCTGTTTCTGTGGTAGATATCTTATTCTTGTACCACCACTGAGGAAACCTTAAATGAGCCCCAAAGATGGGACATTTGTGGGTTCGATGTGACGTTCGTAACGGTGAAGGAGACCTGGGATAGTGACGCGTTTCTGTTGACCTCTGTTCAGCACTGGGTTCCCGGGAAACAGCGTTGATAGGCAGGCCTGTGTTGGAGGTTGCTGAAGAAAGTTCTGAAACCTTCCCGAGGGTGTTCCAGGGACCGTTTGCCCAGAACAGACCCTCAGCCAGTGTGGTGTGCACCCGACAGAGCCCAGACCCAGGACCACTCCGCACCTGTCTGGACCCTAACCTCCCCACTGGTTTTTCGCTCTGGGCGTTCAGCCTCACGAGGGTTCTCCTTTTTGATCATTTGGATAGTATGAGATGCAGTTGATAGAAATTTTAAAACGTTGAGAGATGAGGAAAATGCCATACCTCTTCCCCACCAACTCCAACCTCCACAGAGCGAGGCTCAGGTCGTAACCCCCTGCAGAAGGGTCAGCGTGATCCCAGTGGGCAGCCGCAGAGCGCATGGTTATGACCCGTCTCGTCTTTGCAGTGAATATCTGGAGGTCCACCAGACGGAGTTAGACAAGTTAACCACTCAGTTAAAAGACATGAGAAGGAACTCTCGCCTGGTAGGTACCACCCAATCATCGGGATGTTAACATGGTGTTTTGGTGGGGTATTTTGGCTAAGTATCATGTCCTACTGGGTGGAGATAGGTACAAAGAAGAACCTTCAAGGAAAGCAGATCCAAGGGGCAAAGTACTATCTGCTTTCTGATGTATATTTTAATGCTTTATTCTTAATACATTTAAGTATTTTCCAAGCATGTTTATGCAGATAAAATTTATCATCAGGACAAAATACTCCCTATATTCCTCCCTTGACTAATAAAAAGAAATAAGAAGTTGGAGTTTACCTAGTGTATTATCAGTACCCAGTTGGGAATTCAGAACTTTTGCTTTATCTCTGGTTCTTTTTCTTTTTATCCTCCCCGAGGACATTTTTTGTTTTTTGTTCAAATAGAGTGGGAGAGAGAGAGAGAGAGGAAGAGAGAGAGAAACATGGACACGAAAGGGACACATCAAGTGATCACCACCCACACAGCCCAAACAGGGCCGGGGACAAACTGCAACCGAGGTACATGCCCTTAGCAGGAACTGAACCCGGGTCTCTCTGGACCGCAGGCCGATGCTCTAACCGCTGAGCCAGACCAGCCAGGGCTATCTCTGGTTCTTTTTTAATGTACCGGGGAGGGAGGGGGGATGATATCAGAGAAGAAAAGCAGGCTCCAAAGATGCTGTTAGAAGCTGGAGGACTCCTGAGCCAGTTCGCCTACACATTGTCTTGTTTGAGATGCTTGCAAATGTGCTCTATTCTAATGACCTGTGACAATCCGGTTGGAGAGGTGTTTCTAGTGTGTCCACTCTTTTAAGTGATTTTGTTCACATCTAAGGATAGTACACCTTAATGTTTCATAGCATCAGAACGTCCAGGGAACGCCTGTAAATCCCCAGCAGGTACCACCACCCATTTGTAGCTGCTCCCTCTTTCCTTTTTAGGAGATGTGTTAAAATGCATATTGTTGTCCAGAATTTTCAAAGGCTAGAGGTTAAAAGTTTTTATAGAAGTTAAGGGTTTTATGTTGTAATGATGTTAGAGTATAAATGGACCCCATCTGTGTGGAAGTCCTGTGAAATGGCCTTCAGGGTGTCTGAATGCCCTTGACCATCCTCAATGGCAACCAGTGTCCCTCCTTGGAGAACAATGGGGACTGGAAGGCAGGGCTTCCGCTAGGACCTAGCATTCCATAGAAACCTCGAGTAGGGGAGGGGGTTCGAGCACAGATTCCACAGTGAAACTGTGAGCACACAGGATATGAATTTATTTATTTATTTATTTATTTATTTATTTATTTATTTATTTATTTATTTTTAATCCTCACCTGAGGATATGTTTAGTGATTTTAGAGAGAGGAAGTAAGAGAGATACCATTTGGTACATGGAACGAAGCTCCAACCAACTGAATCGCCCAACCAGGGCTATGAACTTATTTTTAAAATTATTTATGAGAGCGGGATTGGGAAGAGGGTGTCGGGGGGGGGGGGGGCGGATATCTGTTACAAAAATTAATTAATAAAATAAAATAAAACCTATTTGTGAAAAGCTAATTATCACCGGGAAGGACTCCTCTGAAATACCAGTTTTACATGTTTAAGCAGGAAGGCCAGTATATTTTTAACACATATATCACAGCTACATTTTGTAGTTACACCATTAATTTTTTAAGAATTAAAAAGTGAATAGTACCCGCCGGTGTGGCTCAGTGGTTGAACGTGGACCCACGCACCAAGAGGTCACCAGTTCGATTCCCCGTCGGGGCACATGCTCAGGTTGTGGGTCTGATCCCCAATGGGGCGCGTGCAGGAGGTGGCCAATCGATGTTCTCTCTCATCGATGTTTCTATCTCTCTCCCTCTCTTCCTCTCTCTCTAAAATCAATAAAGAAAAAAAATTTTTTTTTTTTTAATCCTCACCCAAGGATATTTTTCCATTTTTTGTACAGATAGAGTGGGAGGGAGAGAGAGAGAAACATCGATGTGAAAGGGACACATCGAGTGGCTGCCACCCGCACGACCAACCAGGACCGGGGACAAACTGCAACCGAAGTACGTGCCCTTAGCGGGAACCGAACCCGGGTCTCTCCAGACCTCAGGCCGACGCTCTAACCGCTGAGCCAAACCGGCCAGGGCAAAGAAAAAAATTTTTTTAAGTGAATATGGATTTAAGTGTCCCTGGACATGTAACAGAAAACCGCTCGAAGCAAATGAGACCCTTACTACTCCCAGGTGGCCGGGAGGTCTGGGTGGAATTCTGGAGACACGGTATAAATAAATAGTGGCTCTTAAAAGTACTTTTACAGTATTTAAAATAACTAGGATTTTTTTGCTCTTTTAAAGCAAATGTCAGAAAACCCAGTAGAACTTTACAGGCTGGTCATTATTTCACTGATAATGCAGAAATGCAGACAAAAAAAATCCCTCTGTTAGTATCAGTAATAATTTTGAGGAAGATATCTTTTAATGCAAGCATTTTTTTTTTTTAGGGTGTACTGTATGACCTTGACAAGGTAAGTAGCTGTTCTGCGTTGAGGCAGAAATAAAACCCTGCAGCCTTGAGTGGGGGCCCGAGAACCCCCAAGGGACAGTGAGATCCCAGAGCTGATGATTTTTCTAAGCCCGGAAAAATCCATGCTTGTCCTGATGAGCTTGATGAATAAGGACTGCCATCTGTAAGCCATGGAGACGCCGCCTGGTGCAGGGTGTGTAGTGTGCTGAGAAGGGGAAGAGGCCCCAGTGCTGGAGGCCTCCCTGCCTCCCCTAGAAACACCAGCGTCGTGCTCTCCCAGAGCTGAGGCGCACCGTGGGAGGCGCCGGTCTTTTCTGCTCCACCAAGAAAACAAGCGATTCTAGGGAGACCCTGACAGCTCTTTCTTTTCCTCTGAACTTTGTGTTTTATACTTCGTGACAAGACTCTTTAAGCCTATTTTAAATGCAGTTATTATTATTTTTTTTTAGTTACATGTGAAGCTGTCTCTTTCTATGCCTTTCGGTATATACAGTGTCCTTAATGCTGAATCATAGTATAATCTGTTTGCAGACATTTGAAAGGGTAATTAGACTGGACGCATGTAGTAATAACACGTATAGCTCAGGGAGAGATGGCGGTGACCCGCTGTGATCGTCTCTGAGCACACACGGGCGTAGTGACCGTGCCGTGCACCTCGATTTCAGAGACACTGAGATGTGGAGGGGAAAGTTCACCTTCGAGCTGATGAAACGTGACAATGGAGAAAGTCAGTTCCATTCCACTAAGATACCATCCACCAGAAATCTAGTGAATTCCACTTGATTGGCCTTCTTGATATGAAACACAGATTCCAATAACCAGCCAAGTTCATCTCTCAGAATATTTATTCAGTATTTGAAAAAGACTCTCCAAATGGACACCAGAGACTCTAAAATAGCAACCAAGACAGGAGAGGAGGAATGTTCACCACTCTCAGGGACTTCTGAGGATAAGAGGGGAGAGACGGGAAGCCGCTGGCCTGGACCAGGTGAGAGTAAATGGCTGTATTTTCTCAGACTCTTCCTTTCAATTGCAGCAAATCAAAACGATCGAAAGGTACGTGCGACGCCTGGAGTTTCACATCAGCAAGGTAATCGAATTCCTTTGTCTCGGCCGGTTCCTTGTCAGTACACCTTTTGCTTGCACTTAGCATGTAGTTCGGGGAGAATTTCTTACCAAATTGACTCCTCAGCTGATCAGTAATTAGTCCTCCAACAGGCAGCAAAGAGGGAGAAAAATGAGACCGGAGGCCTAATAACCCAGCATAGCTCTGACCGCCTCAGCCCAACGGCCAAGCAGAGGGGCTGCCCACGGGCAAGCAGCCGCCTGGCAGGGGCCCCCAGCCAGGGTGTATGGGGAGAGAGAACCCCAAAAGGGCTGCAGGAAACATCCCTCCTGCCTAATCTCATCATCTGCTCCCATGTGCCGCTTGGCACCCCGAACCTTCATGGAGGGCGTTGGTGCACTTAAAGACAGCTGTCAGCATGCCCCTAAATCTTTCTCACGTCCTCAGGCCCTCTGCTCTTCCTCGCCTGGCCTGGTTCCGAGTCCCTTTCAGTCTGTATGGGCCCTAGATGTGCACCTGTCCCGACACCCAGCCCTGACCCACAGATAGTTCACGGGTGGTCTGCCCAGCCAGTGGGGAGCAGGACTGTCACCCCTTTCTGAACACCGTCAGGAGATGCCTGTGTGACTAGAAAGTCTCCTTTAAGAGCAGCTAAGTCATATCAGGTGCAATCCCTGTTCCCACCCACTCGCGCCAGCCTGTCTTCCCAGAGCGGAGCTGGAGAGTTAGCATCTGCTGGGACTCCGCCTCCAGGCCAGCCCAGCCCTGCCATGGATGCCCCAGGCTGCACTCCCGGCATGGAGCCTGGCTCTCCACTCTGGAAAGGGGACTGGGGAGGTCATGCATCCTCTCTTCTCAGCCCCGAGAACATTTCCTTTCACTGCGTCGCGATGGTTTTATGCGTGGCTGCCGCTGCCACCGCGAGAGACATCCGTGGCCTCGGCAGACCTAAATTGCTGCCGTTCCTGCTAACGTCGGTAAAGGAAGCAGGGCGCCCATGAGGAGATGTTGCTATGGCAGGCAAGCTTTGACAAGTTACTCTGTCCAGTTTGAAAAACAGCAAGAAAGCAAGATGAGTATTAGGCAGGCATGCGTTTCTCCACCCGTGTCCGTCGCTGTTGGATACCGTGGCCCAAGGTTGTGAAAGGTTGGTGGGATCTGTCTGCAGCACGTATACGCAGGCTGTCGACAAGTTGTATGTAATGGAGTGAGTCAGTTAATCGGTGTATTTGGTGCCTGCTGACTCACAGGTGAGACAGATGGGTGCCCATGGGTGGCCCAGCTCTGCTTGGACTATGCAGTGAGCCTTGATCCTAAAGTGTAACTCTGCTGGCCTGAGATAGGGTGACATTTACTGAAACAAAGAATAAGCTTCTCTTTAAATGCAAAGTAACAGACTGAGTCACTAGGGCTCATGCAGGGGTCCATGAGCAGTTTCCTTCCCGAGAGGGTACACTCCTGGAGATGCTGGCGGGAAGAGGGTCGAGGGAGTTTCCTAGGGGACCACAGTGGTGACACGCTGGCCGGCGGTGAGGAAGGTGCTGGCGCTCGTGTTTCTGCGAGGTGCGTGGGTACCTCCTGCATCAGAACGCTCTGCAATGAGTATTTAAAATGTCAGATTCCTGGCCCAGCCTTAACCTACTGAATCCACATCTCAGAGCGGGCCTGGGCATCAGCATCTAACAAGCTCACCAGGTGGGTCTTAGCTTAGTTTCAGAGTGTGGCAATCACCCTCCACGCCAGTCACCAACCAAAAGATGTCATCCCTGGAGGCCGAGACCGCCCCCCCCAAATCAGAGAGAAATCCATCGACCTCAAGAAATAAGACTGTTTTTTTCTTTCCCGCATCTGACGATTCTTAGCAAAGGAAGCGAACTGTTGGCTTAAAGAGCAGCAAAGACGTCCCCAACCGAGAGAATACTCATCAGCGTGTCCACATTCTCAGGCTGGGCTCTGTGTGATGCTCTCTTCTAGGCTTTACAAATTTGGAGGGAGGGAGGGAGAGGGAGAGGGAGAGAAGCATATCGATTGGCTGCCTCCCGTGTGACCACTGGGGCCAGGGATCAAACCAGCAACCCAGGTACATGCCCTTGACCAGAAATTGAACCTGAGACCCTTTGGTCCACAGCTGATGCTCTAACTGCTGAGCCAGACCAGCCAGGGCTGAAGGAACAAACATGTACGGAAGTGAGAAGTTCGGGTAGTCTGTGTGGAGGACAGCCCCTCAGGATGTCACAGGGTTCATTCGCTTCTGCTAATGCCTGGTGACGTTGTCCTTTTACCTGTCTAATGGGCTGTGACCAGTGTGTCGATCATGGAAGGTCGTATGAGACTGTAGAAATTCATATCATCAGGAATAACCTCAGAACAGGTGTCCTCCCCCTTGGCACTGTTGATATTTTGGGGTGATTCTTTGTTTGTGGGGGCTGTCCTCTCCTTCATAGGCTGTTTAGCCACATCCCTGGCCTCCGCGTCCTGTAGGCCTATAGCACCTCCCAGCCTGACACCAAAAAATGTCTCCACATGCTGCCAAGCATCCCGTGGGTGCCAGAATCACCTTGGCTGACTGAGAGCTGCTGCCCGAGAAGCGCTGCTCGAGAATCCGCTCTGCAGAGTAACCAGAAGTCACGGGCAGCCCGCCGGTGCGGCTCAGTGGTTGAGTGTCAACCAATCCACCAAGAGGTCGCTGGTTCAGAGAGCGGGACGTCCAGCCTGCGAGGGAGAGTCTTGGTGTCGCACGCGACTAAAGAGCGGTTTAGAAATGGGTGATGTTGAGAAGGGCAAGAAGATTTTTATTCAGAAGTGTGCCCAGGGCCATACGTGGAAAAGGGGGGCAAGCACAAGACCAGGCCAAACCTCCATGGTCTATTTGGGCAAAAGACAGGTCAGCCCCTGGATTTTCCTACACGGATGCCAACAAGAACAAAGGCAGCACCTGGGAGAGGTTGCACTGCTGGAGCATCTGGAGAACCCCAAGAAGTGCACCCCTGGAACAGGAATGATCTTCGCTGCATTAAGAAGGGTGCATCAGTGGGGGAAAGGAGAAACATCTGCAACAAAAATACATAAATTAATTTAAAAAAAAAAGAGTACAGAAAGGGCAGGCTTATCTCAAAGCAGCTGCTAATGAGCAGTAGTTGGCCACAGCCTTAGTTACTAAAAATGTCTCATGACTTTTTTTATGTGTACCATATGTAAATTGATCTCATACACCAGGATTCAGATCATGAATGGATGATAGAACATTTCTTTTGGACAGTCCTGATTTAAACAAGATTGGCTTGTGGTTAAATGAATATGGCCGGCTTTCTTACTTTGACGGTAGTTTCAGTTCAGCCAGCACTCTCACTGTTTTCCCTTTCTAAAAATACGCTTGGACTTGATTCGCCATGTTCAGCTTTGCACAGAGACGGCGAGTGCCCTCTCGAAACCTGTTGGGAGCTTGGTTCGTATTGAGATGTATGTGACTGGTTGCAGTGACATGGTTAAACGCTGAGGAAAGCCTTTCACTGCCTCTCAGGCCAGCAGGACGCGCTTGGGGTGCAGGCCTGTCCATCAGCCTGCTGCAAGGCAAGCGCGGGGGGTGAGGTGGCAGTGCCCACCTTATCTCTTTGGTCCTAACTATGCCCGTTTAATGTAAATTCCCAACAGCATCTAAACTACTGCCTTTTACTAAATGAAAGGCGTTTTAGTGTGATTTGTGTATAATACCAAATAAAGAATATTTAACACCTCACATTTTATAGATGATCTATAAGGTCAGATGCTATTAAAATTCAGTGTGACAAGATATAGTGGCAAACTTTGTGAATTCTTTATCAGACAAGTTATAATTCAGGATTTTCTTGAACAGCTATTCAAAAACAACTGTAGAATTACTATATATGTGTGTTATTGGTTATGGTGCTTTCGCCAGCTCACTAGAAAGATTAAAGTAGAGGAGAACAGATCATCAACATAAAATTGTAAATTATGTGAGCATAAGGCTTAAGATAATTAAAAACAAATCACATATGGAAAAAAAAGAGGTTGCTGGTTCAATTCCCGGTCAGGGCACATGCCCAGGTTGTGGGCCAAATCCCCAGTGGGGGGCATGCAGGAGGCGGACAATCAATGTTCTCTCATCAATGTTTCTATCTCTTCCTCTCACTTCCCCTCTCTCTAAAATCAATAAAGAAAAATAAATAAAAATAAAAAAAGAAGCCCCTGGCCAATGGGGCATGGCGGTTAGAAGCATGTGTGCAGAGGCTGCTGGGAAGACGTCCAGTGCGGTTGCCCCATCTGTCCCTTCCGTTGTGGTATGCTTCACACACAACAGACACCACACTGCCGAAGCGTGCAGTTTGATAAGCTTTCACGATTGTCCTTCATCCTAATTTGGAAAATAACTTCATTTTCTCTCTTTATTGTCAAGCCAAAAATTTACAAAAATTATTTTTAGTAACTAGCCTCAAGTTCTTTTTTATTTATTTATTTTTTTTTATCCTCACCTGAGGACATTTTTCCATTTTTTTGTTCAGATAGACAGGGGGAGAGAGAGAGAGAGAGAGAGAGAAACATCGACGTGAAAGGGACACACCGAGTGGCTGCCACCCACATGACCAACCAGGGCTTGGGACAAACTGCAACCAAGGTACATGCCCTTAGCAGGAACCGAACCCGGGCCTCTCTGGACTGCAGGCCGACGCTCCAACCGCTGAGCCAAACCAGTCAGGGCTCAAGTTCTTTTTTTTAAAAAAATGTGCTCCCTCTGGAGGTGTGGATATCACCTGTGACACTAGCTATTAAAATAGTGACAATTGGGGAAAGGGGGACATCTGTAATGCTTTCAACAATAAAAAATTTCTAGCCCTGGCCAGTTTGGCTCAGCAGTTAGATTGTCAGCCTGCGGTCCAGAGAGACCTAGGTTCAGTTCCTGCTAAGGGAATGTACCTCGGTTGCAGTTTGTCCCCAGCCAGTTTGTCCCCGGCCCTGGTTGGTTGTGCAGGTGGCAGCCACTCGATGTGTCCTTTTCACGTTGATGTTTCTCTCTCTCTCTCTTCCTCTCTCTCCCTCCCACTCTACCTGAACAAAAAATGGAAAAATGTCCTCGGGTGAGGATTTAAAAAAAAAAATCCAAATGAATACATAAAATAGAATGACAATAACGCAGTGCACCCTGGAATCTTCTCCTGGGAGAGAAGCTGCGTAATCGCCCCTGTTTGTCTGGGACGCTCCAGCCTTCCTTGCCCCACCCCTGTCCGCGCACAGCAGCCACACCCACCTGCGCGTCCGCCCACGTTCCATTCATTTTCATCTCACACGCTTGGAAAAGTGGCTCAGAGTAAAATCGGTTTTCATGTAGAAAGTGGATTCTAGAGGGGGTCAACGGGGGAGAAAGGGGGAACATCTGTAATCCTTTCAACAATAAAGATTTTTTTTTTTAAAGAAAGAAAGGAAAGTGGATCCTAGTGGCGAAAACGAAGAGATCGGTGTCTGTCTGAAAGAACTCGGCTTCTCCCAGTCCCTCCCTGAGCTCTGGGGCAGTGCCTGACCCAAAACACGTGCGAGGGGCTGGGGTGTGACCAGGACTCACCGCCCTGTGTTCCCGCTTCATCCCGGCAGGTGGATGAGCTCTATGAAGCCTATTGTATCCAAAGACGCCTGCAGGACGGCGCCAGCAAGATGAAGCAGGCCTTCGCCTCGTCGCCAGCCAGCAGGGCAGCGCGCGAGAGCCTGTCCGAGGTGCACCGCAGCTACAGGGAGTACACGGAGGTGGGTGCTCGCCTGCCCGGCCGCCCGCCCGCCCGCCAGTGGGCGACTGCCCAGGACGAGGGGCGGGCCGGGGCGAGCTCGCTCCGCTCTTTGCTCCCCTGGGTTGGTTGGTTCGTTGGTTGGTTGGTTGGTTGGTTGGTTGGTTGGTTGGTTTTGTTTTGAGGCCGTCAGTGGAATTGTTTAAAACGACTTGAGTGGTTCGCCGGTTGAATTTTGCTGGACTCTGGGGCATGTGTGTTGGCGCGTCCCAGAGCGCCCCCTGTCGGGCAGGCATCCTGCGCGCCCTGCAGTAACCCTGTGTGCTCTGTGAGACCACGAGGTGCCAGGGGCTCTGAGGCCGCTTGCTGCGCGGTCGCTGCCCGCAGGGTCTACAAATGGCCGTCCAAGTTTCAGAGAATGGCTAAGGAAGCCACGGTGCCCCGATTTTTATAATTTAAATGTATTTCCAAAGTCCATAGTATGCAGGCTCGTTGAGCTTTATCCCTGGGAGCCGAACAGACCCTGTGGTTCAGATCACCTGGACCCTGGTGTCTTGAGCCCCCCTGCCTACCATTAGCGCATTGGTAGAGATTTCCCTGCCGTCTGTCAAGGAAACCAGACAAAGCCCTGAACAGAAGGGTGCTGTCCTGGCTTCTGTGCTCGGGGCCCCAGCACGTGACCCAGGGAGGCCTGTGCTCCCCCCAATCATCTGATCCCAACGTGTCTGATGAAATGACTGAATTATTCAAGCATGAGTGGTCGTTCAGAGGTCAGATTTCCTGAGTGAAGTCGTCGGCCCGAGGAGGGTCTGTGGGACATTTCTTCTGTCTCAGCTCTGGGATGGAGGAACCTCTTGGGTGACAGGCAGGATCACTTTATGTGCACCCAGCACCTGGCCCATACCAAGGGCTTCTTTACCTCGGTGCCCCTTCAGGGTAATGCTGCTTAAATGAGGAAAATAAAACACAGGAATTCAAAGAAAACAAATTAGACTGAAATGTAATTATTGCAAAATTGGCAGCCCAGTTAGCAACATATTTTAAAAGTCAAGCATGTGCCATTGCACAATGCTGCTGCTTCAGTAACACAGCAGACAGAACCACAGGATCCGACACAGGCCCCAGCAATTCGAAATTACGAAATTCAAAGCAGTGAAAAGTAGAAATGATCTTTGCAGGTGTGGTCTCTGTCACCGACAGAGCCGCAGGTACTGGTAACACCGGTGGCCTGTTTTCTACCTCCATGACATAGGGACATTTGAGTTTTTAGTCAGACGTTGGTGGAGATGACGTGACTCCTCACCCCTGACCCCACATGCTGGCGGCCCGCAGGTTGAGAACGTCTGGCCCAGAAGCAGCCTGATTCACGAGCCCTCGTCTCTATGTCTCTGAAGTCAGGCACAGTTGGTTGCCAGTCACAGGGACTGTTCAGTCTCCAGGATTCAGGGCTGCCTGTCCTGGGACATTTGCAGAAGGACCCACCCCTGGTCGAGAGCCAGGACATCATACTACGCTCACCAGGTCAAAGGCAGTTTCACAGAGGGGCTGCTTCAGAGAAGAAAGAGCCTGAGAACTCTTATTCCTCACTGAGCTCAGGTGCTTCTATACTTCACAGAATCATAAAAGCCGGGGTTTTACCACGAAGGGTGTTTAGGGTGCAGTGGGTATGGGGGCCTTGCCGGTGTGGCTGTTGTCCTCCATGGTGACGTGGTGAGGCTAAGGAAAGTCTGACCATGGGGGCCCTCCACTGTTCAACGTGCCCCACTTCCCAAAGACACTGGGAGCAACCCCAACATGCCTGGTAACATTGCGGATCTGTCTGGAAACCGAAATGCATTCCTTCCTGGAGATGCCCGGTGCCCTGAGGGAGAACACTGCTCCACAATCCCGAGACTTGGCCTCAAAGCTTCCAGTCTACCTGGAGCTCAGGGGGCAGGGGGCGCCCCACCCCCTCTGCTAAGCTAGGCAAGGGACTAGACTTTCAGGAGAGTGATCGCTAGGAGTGGAACAGAGGATCGGATCAGAATCAGAACCTCCAGTCCGACAAATCAGCCCAAAGGCCTGAGCAGCCGAGTTCAAGTGGCAGCAATCCCATCCAAGCTCACAGAGCTGCCGTGCACTGGGAGAGGCCACCAAAAGCGTGCCTGGCCACGCCGCAGAAGGGCCTCTCTGGGGACAGCCCCTGGCCATGGCATGTTGATTTCTAACTCTGATTGCTCCGGTCAGGTCCTCGGATCCGGAGGAAGTGGGTGGGTGGTCACACATCTGCCCACAGCACAGGTGGGGTCCCTCCTGCCTCTGTTCCCGCAGCACTACAGTGAGGCAGGACACCGTCAGACCCAGGATCGTCTTGGGGTGCTGTGGGGTTGCAGCAGGAAGCCTACATCACCTAATTGTTTTCCCATGATTTTTTTTTATCCTCAGTCGAGACTTTTCCTTTTTTTGCTCAGATAGAGTGGGAAGAAGAGAGAGAGAAACATCGATGTGAAAGGGACACATCGAGTGGCTGCCACCCACACGACCAACCAGGGTCGGGGACAAACTGCAACCGAGGTACGTGCCCTTAGCAGAACCGAACCCGGTCTTTCTGGACCGCAGGCCGACGCTCTAACCGCTGAGCCAAACCGGCCAGGGCGTGCCATGATTTTTATTAAGAAAAATTCCTAACGTACAGGAAAGTTGAGATTAATACCATGGACAGCAAATACTGTCAGGAGATTTAATAATTGGTGACATTTCTCCACTTGTTGTCTCTCTCTCATCAGCTCAATGTTTTTTATATTTTTGCGGAGTCATTTGATGGTCAGTGGCAGATATCATGGCATTTCACCCCATAAACATTATTGTACGAATTTCTTAATGGTAGCCTAGGTAATGTGCACATCCCCTGCAAAACCACATGTATACCGTTATCACAACTAAGAACGTTCAGTCATGTTGTAGAATTTCCTAACATCCTGTGTGTTTTCAGATTTCCCCTATTTGGCCCAATCGTGTCTTTATCATTGTTTTTGTTTCTTTACTTGTCTTTGAAGTCAGGATGCAACCCAGGTTAACACATTTCTTCTGGTTGTCTCTTTAGTCTCTTTCATCCGGATTTTTTCCACCATGATATTGCCTTTTTGTAGAACTCAGGCCAGTTCTTATAGACTACCCCACGTTCTGGATTCGTTGGTGTAGGAGAGGGGTGGGGAACGTCCAGCCCTTAGGCGTACAAGGCCCGAGAAATCAACACCAGCTGAGGACACACACCTCACCACAGGGGAGCAGTTCTAGCCATCACCTTAGGGGTGAGTTAGAGCAGGCTAAATTTTAAGTTGATAATTTTGTGTGGCCTGTGAATGGTGTTATAAATATCCAAATGGCCCTTGGCAGAAAAAAAGGTTCCCCACCCCTAGTTTAGGACATGATTTAACTTGTTCTCTGCTCTAAATTTCCTGGTGCTGCGGCTCGCTCAGACCTGGGCTGAGCATTTTGTCAAGAACTCCTCCGAGGCAGTGAGTAGTTCACTGGTCAGTTGGTCCTGGGGCTCATGCTGTGAGAACACAGGTGCTTGGAGCCACGCGAGGCGCCGAACTCTGACTGATGCCTGCCCCCTGTCTCCTCACAGAACATGTGCACCATCGAGGTGGAGCTGGAGAGCCTGCTGGGCGAGTTCTCCATCAGGATGAAAGGTACGCGGAGCCACACTGTTTTCATAGTCTTTGCAAAGACTCAGCCCTCCCACTCTGTGTGCTGACACTGAATCCCAGGCCCTTAGCTCCTATACATCCCACCCCGGCCCGTGACCGCAGGGACACTCTAAGACAGCCCAGTGGACACAAAAAACTTGTTCCAAGGATGGCACCTGGCAGGCAGGCACCTGGGAATAGGTGGGAGCAAAGGGCCCCCACCCACCAGGTCTGGAGCTGCAGAGCTGCCATCAGTGAGCGGATGATGTTGGGGGCCAGATTCCATCCACTGGGGCCCTGGCTACCCCGCTCAACAGCAGCACTGGTTGCCATTGTTATCTGATGGACTGAGACCCTTCTGCACCTCCGTCTCTGCCCCTGTTCTATCTCTTTCCTGCCTGGTCCACATCCTTTGCTTCTTCCTGGTGGTCGCTCAGGCCTGAAGCTGATTCTCCTTTCATTACAGATGTATCTACTTACACTTCCCTAATCTAACACAAAAACCCAAAAGAACATCTGTGAAGGCTTTCCAGGGTAACACCCCGTGGAAACCGTCCTCTCTCGATACGGAGAAGCCTCTCACACTGGCTGGACACCTCCCAGCTTTACCATTAGTTCCTTTCTTATCTGTTGTTTATTCTGGTAAAAAATAAAATTAAAAAAAAGAACCACCCAACATACCCACCCATGAACTGAGGATATTTAATAACATGTCAGGCCTGGTAACCATCTTCCCCCGCCACACTCATCCACACTTCCCTTTTTGCCCAACCCCCAACACCCAGACAGTTGTGTTTGTTGAGGGGTAGGGGTGGGGAGGTAATAAGATAAAGACAATTCATCAGGCACTCACTGCTGTGGGCCTAGCACTAGGCTGAGTCTGGGTGGCTGGTCCTTGGCCTCGAGTCTCACACAGACTACTGGAGAAGTGGGAGCATGAGCCAGCGCCTCCTAACTGGGAGGAAGGAGTCTGTGTTCCCCGAGGCCTGGGGGGTGGAGGGAGGGGTGCCACTCGCCTGTCTGAGAGGAGGAAGGCTCCCCAGTGTGGCCTTTGAGTTAGAATGAATGGGACTGCTCTAGCAGATGAGCAGCACAGGAGTAGCACCCGCCAACATTATCCTTCCGGAACTTGTTCAGAAAGGACAGGGAGTTTGGTAGGGAAACCTGGTTCTCCCCCACCCTCCCAGGGTGGGAGCCCTGGTGCGCTGCTGCCATCTACTGGCCAATTGTGGCAACAGCAGGTGCCTTGTTGGCCTCCCTGCACCTCCTGCTCCCCTTAGCCTGGAGGTTGTCCCTATTTTATCGTGAAGAGCGGAGTTAGGTAAATTATCCGGAGCATGCTAGCTGGCAAGAATTAAATTAAGAATTAAGAGGTCAGATTTAAATTCTTCTCACCACCCACAGTTCCTTGTCTGTATCATTTCTGTGGGCTTGACCACATTCGGCTGTGCCTGTGGGTATCCATAGGCTTCCTTCATTTCCAGATTGTCACCCCAAGCAGAGAGCCGTACACACAGTGAGCACTGAGTAAATCTAGAAGAAGAAAGAAAGACCAGGGGTCCTCAGCTATCCCGAGATAGTGGTCCTCTCATGTGAGGAGGTTTGGTTTCCTGTCACGGTGGGTCTCAGAAATGAGCAGATCCCGTGAGAAGTGGCTTGCTGGACGGGGCGGCAAAGGAGATGCCCCGCTGTCATTTGGAGGGTGCAGGTGGCAGGCATTTGGTTGGCTGGTTAGCTTTGGTTTCTTAATCACTAGTTTTGTGTAGGTGGTCACCCGTGTCCAGTGGTCCCTGACACAGGGCTGGGGTTACTGAGCTGGATAAGGGGTGAGGAAGACAGGAGGAGTGAGCAGGGGAGGCCAGGGGAATGACTCCACAGAGCCTCAGTCCAAACGAGAGCCCCTCATTTGAAGTCACAAGTCTTGGGACAGAGAAGAAAACAAGAGCAGTTTATTTACATGAATATATTTGGGGATAAATCAACAAATGTATCTTTCTGGCCCTAATTCTGTGGTCCTGGCATCTGCTTGGACCTTGAATTGGCCCAAAGGGACACGGAGCTGTTGCCCTGCTGACCGGCCTTCTCTGCCTGGAGAGCCCCTCTGATGCCCAGTGGTTCTCCCCACAGATGATCCCAAATATGACTAGATGAGCTCACAAAAGTCCGGCCCGGCTCGATGTCCTGGGTGTGCCCGGGTGGGTGGTGAGGGGGGAACGGCCCTGCGCCTCACGCCCCTGCTTGCTTGCAGGTCTGGCCGGATTCGCGCGCCTCTGTCCTGGAGACCAGTACGAAGTAAGTGTGTCTTGCTGGGTGTAGGGACAGAGGGCTGAGGGAGGGGGGTCCGTTGTCCTAATTCCACTTTGTAAATTATCTCTTTTTTTTAACATTTGTTATTTTGGGGAAAAAAAAATGAAGCCCACAAAAAAGTTTGGAGGATGATACAAGCCTCCCACGTGGCTTCAATCTAGACTCGCAATGTCTAACAGGGCGCCACACTGGCTCCATTGTCCGTTACTGTTGTCATCGTTCCTATTCTGCTGAGCCTTCCGGAGTTTTGTGCAAACATCATGATCCTTCATGCCTCCATTCTTCCAAGAATGTGTCGACAAAACAGATAGAAACTTTTTTTTTCTATCCTCACCCGAGGACGTTTTTCAATTTTTTGTTCAGATGGAGTGGGAGGGAGAGAGAGAGAGAAAAACATCACATCATTGTGAAAGGGACACATCGAGTGGCTGCCTCCCTCACAGCCCTGACCCAACCAGGGCCGGGGACAAAGTGCAACCAAGGTACGTGCCCTTAGCGGGAACCGAACCCGAGTGTCTCTGGACCGCAGGCCGACGCTCTAACCGCTGAGCCAAACCGACCAGGGCTGAACTGAATTTTTGAGGACATGTCCAGAAGCAAGAATTCAACAGATTCACTGGAGAATGGCAGCTTGGCAGCTTATTTTACAGACTAGAATCAAAGGAGACATAGGGAGACTGCAGGGAATCCCGGGGGTAGATTATCAGGACGGGGGAGCAAAGCAGGGACATCTCTGGGCTGGATACAAAGCAAAACAGAGAGACACATACTTCTTTTCTTTTTTCTTTTTTTCTTTTTTACATTGATTTTTAGAGAAAGATGGAGAGAGAGACAGAAACATGGATGAGAGAGAACATCGATGGGCCACCTCCTGCATGCCCCCTCTGGGCATTTGGCCCACAACCTGGGCATGTGCCCTGACCGGGAATCAAACCAGCAACCTCTTGGTGCAGGGTCCACGCTCAACCACTGAGCCACACTGGCCGGGCTCACATACTTCTTCTCCGCTGGTGGGTACAAGACAGATCACAGTGGACATTGCCGCACGTGGAGGTGGGGGGTGGGCACCAAGAGCAGTGAGGGCCTCTGTGGTCTCTGCTCCGGAGCCTGAGGCTGTGCCCCAAGGGGGCGGAAAAGAGCATGACTCGGACACTCCGAAGCGGTGCTGCCCTTGCTGCGTGCGAGCAGTGCACAGGCTCCCTCGGAGTAAAGACTGGCCTCTGCTCAGGAAGCCACCGGCCTGGGACTGACCACCTCGACCTGCCGGGCAGGTCGTCTGATCAGGTCATGTCAGACCTGCTGGGGCCCTGACCTGGCCAGCCGCCTGCAGAGCCCCTTCTGCCCCCCGGTGAGGGCCGCCCCAGCTGCACGGCCGCTCACACCGGCACAGTGAATCGGCCTCAGCCCGTGTCGTCGGACACATTTTTCATCTTTGCTCTTGCCAAGGTCCCAGTGCTGTCTGTATACAGGTTCCTTTTCCTGACCCCTTTCCTGTCATGATGGGAGAATAAAGTATCTCAATCTTTCTTTATAAAAATACATTCCATAGGAAGATATATAAGTATATAAAAGGTGTACTATGTTGTACACCTGAAACTAATATAATATTGTATGTCTACTGTAATTTAAAAGAAACTTTAAAATATATATATAGACGCACTCCATAAAGTAGAAAAGCTTTTTACCTTTTTCCCCTTCAAAAGGGAACTTACATAATTTTTTATCTGTCTCCTCCAAAACCCTCTGTGATCATGCTTCTTGGGACGGGGCGGGCACCCTTGCGACAGCACAGCCGTCTGACCCGGGGACTGCACTCTCCCTCGCTGTCGGCCTTGAGAATCCTCGCCCGGCTCTGGCTCTGTCATCCACAGGGCAGATGTCTTGTTCCTGCTCTGACACTAAGTGATTTCGGCCTCCATTCCCTGTAACAGAGCTGGAGGTGTGGGGATTAGTCCTGAGGCAGTCCTTGAAGAAGGACTGACCAGAAGAAGAACTGTGACATGAGTGAGCGGATAGGCGAGGTTCGACCCTCTTTACAACTGAAGGGCTCCCCCTTGGCCTCAGAGACCAGAGCGCTCCCCCTGCTGAGTCTCCCCGCTCGGTCTGCTCCACACCCCGGAGCCCAGAGATGGCAGAGGGTGGAGGAGGAGGGCAGTGGCTGCCTCCTGTACCTGCCCTTCCCCTTCGACGACGGCAGAGTTGGGGGGGGGGGGACATGGCAGTGGGATGTGCGCCGTTTGGTGTCTCCCCAGGTTTTCATGAAGTACGGCCGACAGCGGTGGAAGCTGAAAGGCAAAATCGAGGTCAACGGCAGGCAGAGCTGGGATGGAGAGGAGACAGTGTTCCTTCCCCTGATTGCCGGGCTCATCTCCATCAAGGTAGTGTTCCTGGCCGCCGCTGTCGCCGGTGCCAAGGCTGGGTGGCCCAGGGTGGGTGCCGCACCGCCCGTGAGGCAGGTGGCCACTCTGCAGAAAAGACATGATCGAGCAGTGTCCTCCTGTGTCCTCTGCTGTCCTCCACGGCCTCTCGCTCTCCTTCTAGGTCACGGAGGTCAAAGGGCTGGCAACCCACCTCCTCGTGGGCAGTGTGACCTGTGAGACCAAAGAGCTGTTTGCAGCCCGACCACAGGTGATGGCCGTTGACATCAACGACCTTGGCACCATCAAACTGAACCTGGAAATCACCTGGTAGTAAGTTGCCTTTGTCTGTTTCTTCACATAGACAGACCAGTGTGACCACAGGTGGCACATGAACCTTGGAATCACCTGGACTCACTGTGTTGGTGCTGCTCAGGGCCCGAGGGTCTGTGGTGCGCTCCCCAGGAGACTTTCAGACATGCATGAGCCTCTGTGTCCTCGTCTGCGTCGCATTTTATAACATTTCATTCTGCCCTCCTCCTTCCTGCCTTTACATATGTGTAAGGAAATACACCTTCCCCGTAGGCAGATTTGAAAGAAAACTGGCAATTAGAGCTATTTGCCCTCAGAAAGATCCTGATTCTCACCATGGTGGGTTTTTTTGTTTTTGTTTGTTTTTTAATCTTCACCTGAGGATATTTTTCCACTGATTTTTAGATAGAGTGGGAGGGCGGAAGGGAGAGAGAGAGACTTTGACGTGAGAGAGACACATCGATTGGTTGCCTCCTGCACAACCCCAACCAGGGCCAGGGATCAAACCTGCAACCCAGGTATGTGCCTTTGACTGGGAGTCAACCCGTGATTCTCTGGTCAGCAGGCTGATGCTCTAACCATTGAGCCCACCGGCCAGTGTTCACTGGTGTTTTAACTGCTTACCTGTCTCTGTCTCCCACACCTTTCACTGCTCTGGGAGCTTTAATGTCCTAGTCCCTCCATCTCTGTTCACTGAAATAGAATTCTTACAAAGGATAGGAGATCCCTCTTGTCAAATTGATGAGCTTAAAAGTGATTTTCTGCCCTCACCCTGTGAGAAAGGTCCCGATACGTGATTCAACACAGTTGCCCGCGTGTGGTATCACACTCCCAGTCGGTATGGTGCTGAGTGTCGTGTTCAGGGTCTCCTTAACCACACAGAGGTCAGGGCGTGGGGGTGGCCCACACCTGTCGCTCAGCCGCCGCCTCTGTTTGCCGACGTGGCCGTCTCAAACGCAAGCCCCTTCCCTCACTGAATGACCAGTGACGAGACAGACGACATTACTGTGGGCAGTTGTCCCGCCAGTCACGCAGAGGCCACGTCGATGAAGCACATGGACTGTCCCAGAGGGTCTCCTTGACAGCTGGGCGTTGTGTGCGCACCGTCTGTGTGTCGGCCTCGTGTCTTCCCTGAGTGGTTTTTACAGAAGTCATCAATCTCTGTGTTGGGGCAACACCGACATGTTTCTGTTTCTAACGTTGATGAGAAAGAGGTATGTTAGGTGAACAGGTGAAGGCGGTAAACTACACTGAAAACCATGATTCTCGCTGGCCCTGGCTGGGTCAGTTTTCTCTACTTGCCGTCATTGGGGCTTATTGTCCGATAAACCACGTGGCCCAAACAGCCCAGGTCCAGCGGTTAGCCCCTACCTGAGGGAAATACAATGTTCCCCCAGCCCTGGCCCTCTGGTAGGTGACGGAAACAACCCTTTCACTGGGACCTGCTGTCTTCCAGCCCGTTCGACGTAGAGGAGGTGACCCCGTCCTCCAGCGCTGGGAATAAGGCGGCCGCCCTGCAGAGGAGGATGTCCATTTACAGCCAGGGCACCCCGGAGACACCCACCTTCAAAGACCACTCCTTCTTCGTAAGTTCAGTGTGGTTCTGGAGTCAAGACCTGACCCTGAGGCTGGGCTTCTGTGAATATGATGTTAGGGCGTCTCGATCACTCCTATGGACGTGATCCCTGACGATCACCCCTACTCAGGCAGTGATGCCCAGGTGCCCAGGTGGGGAGCCTGTCTCCCCTTCTCCTACCCCACACCGCCTGCTGCTCTGACGCTGACACACTTCCCTGAGCCTCCCGAGACCAGCGTGTGGAGGAAGGGGGTGTTAACCAGAAATGCTAACCAGACGCTCTCACTGCCCTGCTCGCTCTGACTCCAAAGAGGTGGCTGCGGCCTTCCCCGCACAGGCCCCCGAGGCTGGCCGTCTTGAGCGCCCTGCAAGACACTTTCTTTGCCAAGCTGCAGGGCAGCCGCTCTGCCTGTGACCTGCCCTCCCTCAGGCTGAAGCCCAGGGCCGAGCGCGAGTCCTCTGTGAGTGTGGGTGGCCTGCGTGTGGCGTGGCCCGGGGGCTGGTGGCCTGTGTGCTCTGCTGTATCTCCACTGTGTCCTGTCTCCTCGCTGGGCAGTGACCGCTGCTGGCCTGTCCCTGGCGGAGAACTTGTTCCCGCACGCAGCTTGGTTGGAGGCTGTTTGTCTGATGATTCCTATTTTTGTGCTGTGGTTTTCCCCCACTGCCACAAAGATATCCATGGTAACAAGATTTTCATTTTTAAATTAAATACAATTACACCTGAGGCCAAAAGCGATTGTATGTCCCAAGGTAAACGAGTTTATCACAGGCACCAATCTTACTCACTATGTTCACAGGGAAACACCGCCATGTGGGGAATTCCAGACCCAAGAGAAGGGCTGGGGAGGTCGCTGGAATTTGAGGAAGAATCTGACGGTCCAGCCAGGGTTCCCCACCTCCCTCCCAGCTGCCACTGCTGGGTGTGGGAGAGGGGGCTGGGCGGGGCGCCTGGAGACCCGGGTGTGAGTGCTGAGGGGCCTGCAGGCAGGGCAGGGCCCATCCCTCCAGGGCACCTGTGTGATTGGGGGCACGCCCAGGCCAGGAAGGAGGAGCAGGAGGAACAGGCTGGGGTGGAGAAAGGACCCTGTCTCACATCCCTGCCCCCAGGACTCTGACCGTCTGATAGAGGCTGGAACTGCCAGCAGAGAGAGCTCCACGGGCCCCTGGGAGCCCTCATCACAGATCCAGTGGTTCCAGTCGTCCCCCAGCCAGAGGAGCCTGGTGGCAGGTGGCAGGTGGCCTCCTTCATGGAGGAGCACAGGCTGTCTGTCTGTCTGCCCCGCCCCCAGTCTCTACTTCCTCTAGCACCATTGTGACAGTTTGGTGCTTTAGAAGTCATGAAAGTGCACATGTACCTAAAAACTCAAATCTGGAATCTGAGAGAGTATCATGTGGAAGGAGTTGGTCCCAAATAGCTAGAGGACTTAGCCCACAGAGTAGGGAACAACCTAGAAACTTGTGCCGCTCCATGGAACCATCTTGGCTACCTGGATATTCCGACCTCTGTCTTCAAGTCCTGCCCCCAAGTCCCAGGGCACCTGACCCGCTGGGCTGCCTGGCCGAGGCCTCGGGGCCCAGACGCCCCCACGCACTGGGGCCGCAGTCCTGAAGACAGATGTTCAGTGGATCGGTCTCTCTCCTCTTTCGATAGACGTGATGCAGACGTGTTTCTGGCCTTCACTTGTCTGTGGCATGGTTACAAATTCTTGCTCCGTTTCAAACCATAGCTTATGAGAACTGAAGCAGAACAAAGCATCACATCTTTTGAGTGAAATAACATGAATATTATTGGAGTCTTTTAAGCTAGATGCCAAAAAAAAATTGGTAGTGTTACCACCGTGGCTGCCAAACAGTGTGAGGTCCTAAGGCCCAGGAGACAACCTCCTCTCCAGGCCCCGACTTTTCCCTTGAAGAAACGTGAAAGCTAAGAAGACGGCCGTGAACTTTCACCTCTTCAACCTGGAAATGAGGTTTTTTCAAGTCTTGGTTTCTTTAGCCAGACAGACACCCATACAACCAGGAAATAAAATGCTACTATGATGAACGTTCTGGGTTTTTATTTCAATTCTGTTCTAAATTACCTGGAAATCAGCCACGCCTAATGCCTTATCTGTATTTAAAATAATGACGTAATGCCTTTCTCCCACAGTCCAGTCTCCCCGACGACACCTTTGAGAATGGAAAGGCTGCTGAGGAGAAGATGCCACTGTCTCTCAGCTTCAAAGACCTGCCCAATGGGGACTGTGCGCTCCCCAGCAGCCCAGCTGCCTCCCTCCCCAACACGTGCCTGGCCAACCCGGAAATCACCGTCACACCCTCGCCCTCGGAGCTGCACCGAGGCAGCCAGGCCTCCCAGACTGAGGGCACCGACGACTCCAGCTCCCTATCTTCCAGAAGCTCCTTGGGAGGCGGCCCAGGGCCCAAGCCTCCCCTGGAGGAGGACACAGAGGGGCCCCCGAGAACTGAGTCCCGCCAGGTGCCTGCAGGGGCTGCGGCTGAGCCCCTGTTCCTTGAGAAGGACGTGGCAGAGGCACTTCTGCGGGAGTCGGATGAGGCCTCAGAGCTGAAGCCCGTGGAACTGGACACCTTTGAAGGCAACCTCACAAAGCAGCTGGTGAAGAGGCTGACCTCGGCCGAGGTGCCAGCCACCACCAGGGAGCTGCTGCTCGAGGCGCCGGGCAGCGGAGAGGCAGACGGCTGCCGGTCCCTCCTAGACAGCAGCCTGGAAGACGCCTTCCACGGGCTCTTCCTGGCGCTGGAGCCCCACACCGAGCAGTACGAGGAGTTCCAGGCTCTGAGCCAGGAGGCCACGCGCCTGGATGACATCCTCAGAGTAAGTACCGTTCCAGGGACCTTGGGTCAAGTGTGGAGAGAGGTGTCCTGAGCCGACATTCTATTGAAAGTAGCATGTCTCTATTTTCCATCCTGTCCCATCACAGGGTCAATACACAATCCCCATGTAAATGGCATAGATTTTTATCTCTAGGAGCGAATATCCATTGTTATTTTCCCGACGACAGGCGAATTAACGAACACGACTGGTAGATACCTGAGTTGCTCTCTAAAGGCTGTCTAAGCTTCTTCAGTCCCAGGGTTGCTCGTGCCCCTTGTGAAGCGGAGCATGCTGGTCACCACCATCTCCCTGAGGGCGATGGGCAGCGTCCCTCCCCCAGAAGCTGGAAACCCGTGCCCGGCTGACGTTGGAGCAGCAGCCCCGATGTGCGGGCCCCTGGCATGTCTTCGCCCACAGTTTAAATAACACTGCCCAAAACGACAGAGTGTGAGTTTCTGTCCCGAATCTCACTGCTGCTCGCTGTATTCTCTGCCTTTTCGCTGGAATTTATATCACCACAGAGAAGACAGCTGGGACCCTTTCTCTTCAAAGAGCCATTCTTTGGGGACCTGTTCTAGAAAATAGGCTTAAAAACAGGCCCTCGTCCTAAAAGGTGGCCTCCCCAGGGGCATCTGGAAGGGCACTCCCGAGGTACTGCCGAGCCTCCTTCCCCGGGGGCGCAGCACGCCCGCTCTGCCTGCCCTCTTCTGCTCAGGACAGACCGATGCTCTGCGGACCTGGCCTGCAAGGGGCAGGGACGGTGCTCTGAGTCTGCTGTCTGTAAAGCACAATGGAAAAGCATCCGCTCAGGGCTCACACATGGAGGCTGCTTGTCTAGAATTGCACTGAGAGCATCTTTTACCCCTTCGACAAGCTCGTGTCTGCTCCGCTGACCAGCTCTGCTTAGCGGGCAACCGTGCTCCATTTAAAGAGCTAAGTGGCCCTTGCCCCCACCTACAGCCAGTGCCTTAAAGCCAGGTGGTGGTGACACGGGCCCGTGTCCAGGGTCTGAGTAGCTCAGGCCACCAGCAAACAGCGAGTGAGTCCTCGGTTAGTCGAGGGAAACCTGGCAGGCCCAGCTTTCTCTCCAGAGTCGTTCAGTCTGCTGTTGTAGCAACACTACCCTGCTGCTAACGTCCCTCACAGCCCTTCTTGGCTGTGGGTCCGTGTTCACACATGTCCATATTGTGCACGGTCAAGTTCTGGAGACCTCGAGTGGAGGAAAGAAGACCTGGAAGTGGGAAGGGCTCCTTCTCCACCCGAGGCTGGACAGGGCACCGGAGTGTAGGTCTGGGTCGAGGGCTTTACATCCAGCCGGAGTCCGAGCATCAGCTGGACGAAGCTTTCTCTTTTTCCTCTTCACATTCCCAGGATGCTTAACACCTTGAGGATGAGAAACCAAATGATGCTGCCCCTTGGATGGAGCCACTGAATGAGCCACTCTGACGTGAAAGCACGTATGCTCCCGTGGGCTTTAGAGACAGACCCTGCAAGGCCCTTCCTGCCTTGCTGTGAGGAGTCGGCAAGGATGCCACCTGGCTGCATGGAAGACATTTAGTTCTTCTAACTTACAGGACTTGTCCCGTTCAACCCACCCAGCAAGCCCTGGAATATTGCAAAGGAAGTACCTCTCTCCGCCCCCGTGTCCAGAGCAGCAGGCATTACTCTGTTTGTGGTGTTTGTGTGTCTGTCTAGCACCGTAAGGTTCTGCGGGCCTCAGGTCTGCCCCTGTGACTCTGGACTGGGCCAGGGAGGTGCTGAAACATGTTCCTTCAGAGGCAAGCTGCCGAGGGAGCAGCACTGCCTCTCACGGTGCCCGGCCGTTTGTTTCTCCTCCACGTGCCAGGAGAATTGCACGCTGTGAATGTACGTGGATCGTCAAGGTGACTTACCCAGGGAGCATGGTCAGTGAATGGAGCCGCTCCCGGTCCCTGGGCGTTGTCTTGTCATCCTTTAGAGCAGGGGCTCAGCTAGTAGCTCCTGGGGAGACGTGGCCACATGGAATTAGAGACTGTTCGTGTCCGGCATGGGCCCCCCACTCTCTCCATTTGTACTTGGTTGTATTTTACTTGGGGTTGAGCTCTAGGCAGAGGGACATGCAGCTCTGTTTCCCAAGGCTTGTAGGTTATAATGTGTTTTTTAATTTTTTATTATAAAAATGTCAACCAGAAGCAGAGCGAGTATGTAACAGGTGCCCAGTGCCCACCGCCGGCCCCCACGCTCAGCTCGCTGCCATGTCCCCAGTGCCCACCGCCGGCCCCCACGCTCAGCTCGCTGCCATGTCCCCAGTGCCCACCGCCGCCCCCCCCCACGCTCAGCTCGCCGCCATGTCCCCAGTGCCCACCGCCCCCCCCCCCCACGCTCAGCTCGCTGCCATGTCCCCAGTGCCCACCGCCGCCCCCCCCACGCTCAGCTCGCTGCCATGTCCCCAGTGCCCACCGCCCCCCCCACGCTCAGCTCGCTGCCATGTCCCCAGTGCCCACCGCCCCCCCCCCACGCTCAGCTCGCCGCCATGTCCCCAGTGCCCACCGCCCCCCCCCACGCTCAGCTCGCTGCCATGTCCCCAGTGCCCACCGCCCCCCCCCCACGCTCAGCTCGCCGCCATGTCCCCAGTGCCCACCGCCCCCCCACGCTCAGCTCGCCGCCATGTCCCCAGTGCCCACCGCCCCCCCCACGCTCAGCTCGCTGCCATGTCCCCAGTGCCCACCGCCCCCCCACGCTCAGCTCGCTGCCATGTCCCCAGTGCCCACCGCCCCCCCCCCCACGCTCAGCTCGCCGCCATGTCCCCAGTGCCCACCGCCCCCCCCCACGCTCAGCTCGCTGCCATGTCCCCAGTGCCCACCGCCCCCCACGCTCAGCTCGCCGCCATGTCCCCAGTGCCCACCGCCCCCCCCACGCTCAGCTCGCCGCCATGTCCCCAGTGCCCACCGCCCCCCCACGCTCAGCTCGCCGCCATGTCCCCAGTGCCCACCGCCCCCCCCACGCTCAGCTCGCCGCCATGTCCCCAGTGCCCACCGCCGCCCCCCCACGCTCAGCTCGCTGCCATGTCCCCAGTGCCCACCGCCCCCCCCCCCACGCTCAGCTCGCCGCCATGTCCCCAGTGCCCACCGCCCCCCCCGCTCAGCTCGCTGCCATGTCCCCAGTGCCCACCGCCCCCCCCACGCTCAGCTCGCCGCCATGTCCCAGTGCCCACCGCCCCCCCCACGCTCAGCTCGCTGCCATGTCCCCAGTGCCCCACCGCCGGCCCCCACGCTCAGCTCGCTGCCATGTCCCCAGTGCCCACCGCCCCCCCCACGCTCAGCTCGCTGCCATGTCCCCAGTGCCCACCCCCCCCCCCCCCACGCTCAGCTCGCCGCCAGTCCCCAGTGCCCACCGCCCCCCCCACGCTCAGCTCGCTGCCATGTCCCCAGTGCCCACCGCCGGCCCCCCACGCTCAGCTCGCTGCCATGTCCCCAGTGCCCACCGCCCCCCCCCCACGCTCAGCTCGCTGCCATTTCCCTGTCCCTTCTTCCACCTGCTTACTTCCCTTGGCATTATTTTGGAACAAGTCCCAGATATTGTGCCATTTGATTCATGGTTGCTCTTCTTTTTTTAATATGAAGATTTTAAATGTGTTTGGTTTTTAATGCCAATAAAATAAAACAAAAGCTTAAAACACAGTGTTGCCTGTTTCTGTTGGTCAGAGAGGGTCTCCCATCCTCAAGAGGGGTGTTGACAGGACCTCCTCGGGGGTGTGCACGTGTCCCCCCCTGGGGGTATGGACGTGTCCCCCCTCGGGGGTGTACACGTGTCCCCCCCTGGGGGTGTGGACGTGTCCCCCCTCGGGGGTGTGCACGTGTCCCCCCCTGGGGGTGTGGACGTGTCCCCCCTCGGGGGTGTTGACGTGTCCCCTGTCTTTGCAGTGCAAACCCTCCGGAAGCCACAGCACACCCTCCAGCCTGAGTCTGACGGTTGAGAGTGCTCTGGAGAGCTTTGATTTCCTGAACACCTCTGATTTTGATGAGGATGAAGAGGAGGACCCCGATGAGGGCGGTACTGTAGGAGGAGGTGCTGACTCCGTATTTTCAGACACAGAGAATGAGAAAAACAGGTAAGCCTGTCTATGTCTATTTCTCCTGTCTTCCTTGTGTTGTGTGTGGCCCCCGGCCCCACCTCTTCCTCTCTCATCCCCCCGAAGCCCAGTGGGTCTCTGCAGGAGATTGAGCTCGTTGATAAGGTGCCCCTATCAAAGCCAGGTCTAAGCCCCTGCACACAGTTGCCTTCCATGGTAAGGACAGATGGCTGGTGATGTCACTGCACCTCTGGCCCTCCGGATGGGGTGTGGCCTTCCCCGGGTAGGTAGAAGGGAGGAGGCAGGTGAAACATGGTCACCTTCTCCATCAGCTTCCTTGTACAGCCAAACCTCATCCTGAGACTACATTTTGTAACCTCAGAGAAGTAAACCAAGCCCATTTGCTGGGGGGAAAAAAAAAAACAAAAAAACCCTTTCCTAAAGGTAAAGGTGGATTTCCCACCCATCTGACCTTTGACATGTTGTAAAACAGGTTTCCAAATTACCATAACTCGTCCAACTTTCCCAACCTCCCTGTGGGCAGTGGTTATGTTTGGGTGTTTTGTTGATCTGGAAGGGTTTCTTCTTCCAAAAGAAAAAGCGAGAGCCCTGGCCAGTTTGGCTCAGCAGTTAGAGCATAGGCTGATGGACCAAAGGGTCACGGGTTCAATTCTGGTCAAGGGCACGTACAGGGTTGCAGGTTCAACGCTCAGCTCGGGTTGGGGTTGTGGGGAGGCAACCAATCTATGTGTCTCTCCCACATTGATGATTCTCTCTCTCCCTCCCTCCTTTCTACTCTTTCTACAAATCAATGGAAAAATATCCTTGGGTGAGGATTAACAAAAAGTAAAAATTTCCCTGGCTGGTTTGGCTCAGAGGTTAGAACACTGGCCTGAGGACCAGAGAAAAATTTTAAAAGGCAAGAAATACAATGTATCCCTTGAGCAAATTCAGGGTACAACCAAGAAAATGTAGCAAATTAATGTAACAGTTGAGTTGACCTCCCCTCTGCACCCTGAGATGTCTAACTTCACTGAATTTATGAAATGCTTTTTTTTTTTTTTTTACTTATCTTTATTGTTGAATGTATTACAGATGTTTCTCGTTTTTCCCCTATTGACCCCCTTTTCCCCACTCCCACCCCATCCTGCCTTTTCCCACACTGTTGTCTGTGTCCATTGGTTATACATATATACATATAAGTTCTTTGGTTTATTTCTTTCCACCCCCCACCACCCCCCTTCCCTTTGAGGTTTGTCAGTCTAACAATCAATTTGTACTTCTTAATCCCTTCACCTTTTTCATCTGTTCCCCTAACTCCCCTCCCATCTGGAAACCAACAAAATGTTCTCCGTATCTGTAAGAATGTTTCTGTTCTGCTTGTTCATTTGTTTGTAGATGCAACTGTCAATAGATATGTATTCACTGACATTTTGTTTGTTCATATTTTTTATCTTTTTCTTCAAGAAGATCCTTCAACATTTCATATAGTAATGGCTTGGTGGTGATTAACTCCTTTAGCTTTTTCTTGTCTGGTAAACTCTTTATATGGCCATCGATTCTAAATGACAGCTTTGCAGGATAATCTTGGTTGTAGGTTCTTGCTTTTCATCACCCTGAATATTTCATGTCACTCCCTTCTGGCCTGCAAAGTTTCTTATGAGAAATCAGCTGACAATCTTATGGGAACTCCCTTGTAGGTAACTGCTTTTCTCTTGCTCCTTTTAAGATTCTCTCTTTGTCTTGAACCTTTTGCATTTTGATGATGATGTGTAGGCCTCTTAGGGTTCATCTTGTTTGGGACTCTGTGATTTCTGGACTTGGATGTCTGTTTCCTTCAGCAAGTTAGGGAAGTTTTCTGCCTTTATTGTTACAAATAGGTTTTCAATTTCTTGCTCTCTCTGTCCTCCTTCTGGCACCCCTATGATGAGAATGTTGGCACGCTTGAAGTTGTCCCAGAGGCTCCTTATATTATCCTCTTTTTTTTTTCTTTTTCTTTTTGCAGTTCTGATTGTTTTTTGCTTCCATATATTCCAAATCAATGGTTTGCTTCTTGGCTTAACCTACTCTACTATTGAATCTGTGTAAATTATTCTTTATTTCAGTTAGTGCCTCCTTCATTTCTGACCAGTCCTTTTTTATGCTCTTAGGTCCTCACTAAGTTCATTGAGCATCCTTATAAGCAGTGTTTTGAACTCTGCATCTGTTAGGTTTCTTATCTCTATTTTGCTTAGTTCTTTTTCTGGAGTTTTGTTCTGTTCTTTCTTTGTCTCCTCATTTTGGCTGCCTCCCTGTGTTTGTTTTTATGTATTACTTAATGAGAGATATGGGGCTAGCTGAGACCAGATGCTACTTGTTTGAAAGAATTTAGAAAAACTTGAAGCAGGATCTAAGACAGGCCAATCCTATGATAAAGCAACTGGCAACAGCTTGGGTGGGCCTGAAAGTTGGGTGGGGCAGGGCCTCAGGGAATCACCAGGGCGGGGCTACCAGTGTGAGCCAGGTTGCTGGAGTCCCAGATATGGCGGCTGTCTGCCACCCCAGGGAAGGGCTCACCAAAGGAACAAAGGTCTCTGACAGCACATCTATCCAGGAGAAAGCCCCCTCTCCAGCCCTCACTCTAGTGCCAAACAGCTCAGTTCTTCCCTGTATGTCTCTGGTGCCTTTCAAGCTGCCTCTCCAACGCTGGAGCCCAGAAGGAGCGAGTCCCAGTAAGTCCGTGCGCGGGCCCTTTAAGAAGAGCTGCCTGGGGCTCCAGCCACCTCAGCCTCCCTCAGCCTCAGTTCCCACTGGTTTTACAGCTACAAGTGATGGGGATTCTCTTCCTGGCACTGGAACCCTGAGCTGGGCGCCTGGTGTGGGACAGGGACCCCTCACTCCTCAGGGAGGACCTTCCCAGCCAAGGTGTCCTCCTGATTTTTATCTGCCACATGTGGGTGTGGGACCAGCCGGTCCTCCTCTGCCCTCCTACCAGTCTCGATGTGGCTGCTGTTTTAATCTCATAGCTGTAGGACATCTGTTCAGCTTGATTTCAGGCGGTTTTGAATGATGGTTGTTTGCAGTTTAGTTGTAACTTTGATGTGCTTGTGGGAGGAGCGAGACCACATTTACCTACCCGCCGTCTTGACCAGAAGTCCTGAAAGGCTTCTTAAACCCAAATCTTTCTGTCCTTGTTAATCTCACACTATACATAACTGATCAAGGTTAGGCATCCATCTGAACTCTTCTCCCTGCTGTAAGAAGCATTTTAACAGCAAAAACACCACAGCTTTTATTACTTATAAGGACACTGCTATTAAATATGTCCATCTGATCCATCTTACTGTCTGTCACCAGAGTGTGAGGGGAAGTTAGGAAAATGATGCTCTGTTTGAATTGCCTGCTGATGGCCATGTGCTCCCCGCCGGGCCCGAGTTCAGGGTTTTGCCCTTGGAGGCAAATGTGCCCAGAGCAGAGCACCCGGCACCTGTGAGCTCTGGTGCCCAGTCTTTTCCAACTGTGGAGACGGGGAGCCTCGGTCCGGAAGCCGGAGCTGCCCTGTGGCTGCCTAGCTGTGTGAACACAGGCGTGCTGGCCATGGTGTCTGTCATTCTGCAGTATGTGAGCTGACACGACCCCTCCCTAGCACCCAGATTCATTCCAGAATAAAGTAACAGGTGCAACAGATTTCTTTTTGAATGTAAGTGTTCACCACGATGTGAGTGGAGACGGCTCAGCCGTGGGGTGAACACAGCTGAGGCCAGGGGGCTGTGTGTGCAGCGCCCGCACGCCCACTCAGCTCTCGCCCTGGCAGAACTTTGAGCCTCTTCTCAGCAGCGTCCCCTCCCCTTTTTCTTCAAGTGGGAACAGACCAGCGGCCAGGAAAACGCCTTGGTCCCAGATTTCCTGGCAGTACTGCTACTGAGAAACCACCAATATAAGGACAGTGTGATCGCAGGACACTGGGCAGGCTGCCCCAGCGAAAGTGCCCCCTGAGGCACACTCAGAACTTCTCAGCAGGGTGCTTGGCGAATGGGTCTATGCTGAGGACTCTGGAAGCAATCTTCTCGCCTGGTCTTTTATCATTGAGCAAATCGGAGACCAGGCTGAATTAATAAGTTGTTTTTGAAAGGTATCTCGGATTTTCCAGGCAGGTGGCAGCTACTGGGGACCGTATGGGAGCCATGTCAACTTGACCTGCATTTTCCACACACAAAGAAATGGCTCATGTGTCACTCCCCTTCCTGCCTCACCAGTTACAGATCAGCGCACCCCGAGGCCAGGGCGCACCTTAGCGAGGCACTGACGGAGGACACGGGCGTGGGGACGAGCGTGGCGGGCAGCCCCCTCCCACTGACCACAGGAAACGAGAGCCTGGACATCGCCATCGTCAGGCATCTCCAACAGTGCACCCGGCTCGTGCAGGTGTGCGTGACCCCGTGCATGGCTCGTGCAGGAGTGCGTGACCCCATGCGTGGCTCGTGCAGGTGTGCGTGGCCCCGTGCGTGGCTCGTGCAGGTGTGCGTGACCCCGTGCATGGCTCGTGCAGGTGTGCGTGACCCCGTGCGTGGCCAGGGCCCGGGCTGTGGGCACACTAGGTTTGTGCCTTTGAAATCCTATTTGTTAGGGTTGAAATGATTAGACTGTGCAGATTGGTAGCGTAGGTGAGGGGCACAGGAGAGCTACTTCCTCTGGCAGCAGGTGACCTGTCCTGTCCTCTCCCAGGCCCTTCCTGAACACAGGAAATCACTTCCTGTTTAGGTGGCCTTGGTCGGGTTTCTTAACCTCGCTGTGCCTCAGTTTGCTCCTCTGTACAATAGGCCCGTCGGGTCATTGTGAGAAACGATGTGCACTCACACAGGTGCAGGCTCTGACTGGGTTCAGTCCATGCGCACCATGATTGCAGTGAGCTAGCTTAATTATAAGTATGACTGTTGTACACCATGCTGTTAATTTTTGGCTTGAAAGCAAGGAAATAGATCCATGCTGTGAAAAACGACTACGCTCATAAAATAAACGTTTTTCGGTGTACACAGCGACAGGCACCCTGCACGTGCCCTCATGTTTGAGAGGCTCCCCTGCTGAGAAAGTTCCAGACTTATGTAGTCGTGAGGAAAGCTCAGAGCTGCAGAAGCCTGTGTGGTGCCAGTGGGCGCTGGGAGGGCCCGGGGCACCGGGCGGGCTTGGCCGGCATCCCCTTGGGCAGGAGGGACTAGGTGGGGTCTGTGGGCCCCACCCCTGAGGCGGCACTCCCACCTCTCTTCTCAGCAAATTGTTTTCTCGAGCGAAACGCCCTTCGTGGCGAGAAGTCTCCTAGAGAAGCTCTCTAGGCAGATCCAGGTGGTAGAGAGACTCGCGGCCGTCAGCAACGAGAGCACAGGACATGTGGACTCCGTGCTGGAAGGTGAGCCCCCGCAAAGGACAACAGCGTCCTGTCTGTAGTGACCCACAGCCCTCCCTGGGTGTGCCCCCCTGGTCGGGACAGACCGCAGAGAGGCATTCACAGCAGGGCCCACAGCTGCGTGGCCTCCTGAGCACCGTCCACAGCCTTTAGGGCCAAGCCACACCCTGCTTCTCCTCCAGGGCCCCCAGGGCTGCTGGTGGACACTAGGCAGACAGAACCAGGGTCTCCTCCAGGCAGAGCCTCTCAGGCCTTCCCACAGGTGCGGTCCCCTTGGGGCTGTGATGGGACTGTCCTCATGTCCCGGAGCTGGCCGAGACCACCAACTCCATAGCAGCTGAGGATGAAATGCAAGACGCTCCCAAACCCTCCGGGGACCCCAAGGCCCTCGTGAGGGTCCCTGGGTCAGAGTTTTAGGTGGGAAACTGAACCCAGGAAGATGCCTTTGAATTTGTATGATCTGGTGACAGGGCCCTGTGTGGAGGCCAGAACCCGTGTCAGTCTCACACGGGACACTCAGCAGCAGCAGCGGCGGACACTGCAGTCTAGGGGACCCCTGACCGAGCCCAGACATCCTGAGGGTTTCCCTGCGCGCTTCCAGGAGGGGCAGGACGGCAGGCCAGGCCCCTCCCTGCAACCACACCCGTGCCCGAGCACCCTGTGGGCCTGTCCCATCTGGCGCCTGCCCGCAGTCCTGTCAGCCTGAGAGCCACAGGGCAGGGTGCCTCCTGTTCTGTCCCCTCCCTCTCGGAAAACCTGAGGTGGATGCCCTGCCGCCGGCGTGTTTGCTTGCGCCAGGCGAGGCAGTGGGTTCAGCGCTGAAGGCAGACGGCTGGGCTTGCTGCCCAGGCTGCGTGGGCTGCGCACCTCAACCTCGGTGTCCTCTGGGCTGTCTGCCAACCAGCAGTCTTTAAAAACAAAGTAAAGGCCCGCAGCGAGGCCCGCCCTGCCCAGGCAGTCCTCTGCCTCACCAGTTGCTCTCCTTCCCAGCCGTCCCAGAATTCCACAGCAAGCTGGCCCTGCTGTCCTTCTGGGCCAAGTGCTGCAACCCTGCTGCCGTGTACCACAGCTCGGCCGGCAGCGTGGTCAAGCAGCTGGAGGCCAGCTTCGCCAGCACCGTCAACACGGACTACCCAGGACTCGCAGACCCAGGTGGGCTCGGTGGGAGGGAGGAGGCCTTCTGTGTGGGGTCCCCCCCCACTCCCCCCGAAGCAGCCCCGATGCCAGGCTTCCCCTGCAGAGAAGCGTCATCCGCTCAGTAAGATCTAGGAAAAGACAGAACACGTGATTCAGACCCCAGCAGGGGCTTCGGGAAGTGCTGTGTGTCCCCACTGCTGTGTGGGCATGTCACCCACACCGGAATGTCAAGGGCATACCACTCTGGAACAACCGAAAGTTTCTACTAAAGCTAAATGACCCCTCCCCTCTGGGCCAGCAGTCTCTCCACACAAACCGAGAGAAATGCATGCTTAGCCCACAAGGGGCGTGTGCCAAGTGCACAGCTTTGCAGACGCCAGAAGCGGGAAGCCACTCGAGTGCCCGTGAACAGCAGCACAGATACACTGCCATCTGTTCACACACGGGAGCATTAGCAGAAACTTTTAAGAACCATAAACTGCTGGTACAGGCACCATTTTGGAGGAACAGAGAGCTCAGTGTCGCTCCATCGGAGGAAGTTCGGGAGCAGGCTGGGCTACAGCGGGCGAGACGGAGTGCCTGGCGGCGCCGGCTCGGCTCTGTGCCTTGATGTAAATGGTCACGCAGGTGTATGAGACGCCCAGCTCACCTGGCTTACCCTGCGGACTGATCCACTTGCGTACTTCACTCTGTCCTATTACACAATAAAACAGTGAACGTGTGAGTGAATAAATGGTCATGTTTCTTAAAAGCTGCCCTCCAGCCTGTCCTCTTTCCCAACAGTGTTTCGAACCCTGGTGTCCCAGATCTTGGACCAGCCGGAGCCTCTGCTGCCCTCCAGCCTGTCCTCAGAGGTGGTCACTGTCTTCCAGTATCACAGCTACTTCTCTAGCCACGGCGTGAGCGACCTGCAGAGTTACCTGCCCCAGCTGGCCAAGCAAGGTGAGCATGGTCCTCACGCACGCGTGGGCGGGTGGGCAGCAGTGGCCTCTGGCCTTCTGTTCGCTTCCCGTGTCCCTTGTGTAGAGGATGCAGCACGTGTTTAGCCCATGTTTTCCGTCTGCACGGACCACACCCGTCCTCATGTTTCCATGGCTGACGGAGGCCCGTGCTCGATATGTAGTTCAGGATGAGCACGCATTCCTAAGTCATGGACATGTCAGTCTGTCCAAATGGGACTCGAAATCCTTATTTATATCGTATGTCTCCATATTCCGCCCAACAACCCAGATCCCCGGGGCCCAGTTGCCTGAATGCCAGCAGGGAGAAGGCAGCGGGGCCCCTCGGGGTACAGAAGACAGGTTTGCAATAAGAAGTGTTTGCTTGTGTTCGATTCACTGTGTATGTTTAAGTTTGTCTGGAAGTCGTTTTCATGGCCATCATGCCCTGAGACCGTGCTCACCTGTCCTCCTGTGACCTGCCGTTCACCCTGATGTAGTCACTGCGATAGCCTGTCCTCGTCTCACTAAGTGAACATCCCTTTAGCACATGCTGACTCTTCATAGACACCTGGTCTGTTGTGGGTTCACCTGGTCTGCTGCCGTGAGCCCCTTACTTGACGGTTGCCCTCTCTCCAGTCTCCATGGTGCAGACCCTGCCATCGCTGAGAGACGACAAGCTGCTCCAGGCGGTCAGTGGCCTGGCGCCCAGCAGCCTCCCAGCCCAGCAGGAGGTGCTCAGGACTCTGGCTGTGCTCTTAACCGGGGACGACAGCGGCATCAGCCAGGCCGTGAGGCTGTTCCTGGTGGCGGCTGCCAGGCACGAGCATTTCAGGGGAAAGGTAGGCTCTACAGTCCCAGCCCCAAGCCCGAGGCACTTCATGTCCTATCGCCTACTATTCCCCCTTGTCCGCTTCTTCCATAAGAGCATGTGCACTGTGGCCAGATGGCTCCATAGGTTGGAGTGTCATCCCACACACCAAAAGGTTGCGGATTGATTCCCAGGCAGGAGGCATACCTAGGTTTTGGTTCAATCCCTGGTCAGGGTGCATGCAGAAGACAACCAGTCAATGCCCCCCCCTTGCTCTCCCCCTCCCACTTTTCCTCCCTGCCACATCTCCCCCACCCACCCCCTCATTCCTTTCTCTCTAAAATCAATACACATATCCTCAGATGAGGATGAAAATGCCTTGTTTTACCTGCAGCCTGTCTCAGGCAATAGATGACACATACCTCTAAACCAGCGAAACCAAGTGTTCTCCCCCTGCCCTTCCTCCTGCCAGGCCTTGCTCTACTACTGTGAAGCCCTGATGTCGAGGGACCTCCAGCTCCAGAAGGCCGCGTGCCTGGCCCTGCAGAGCCTGCAGGTGAGGCTGAGTGCGGGGGGTGAGCCCGGTGTAGGGACAGCCGCCCGCCACCTGCACGGTGCCGGGTTCACGCAGTGCATTAGCCTGGAGCCCTTTTCTCCCTTTGGTTACAATCCAAACATCTTGGAAAATAATTACGTTTCAGTTTGCCTCTGGGTTAGCACTAGGAAAGTATATCTTATGCCAAAGAGAGAATGTGATGAATCACCAATGTGCATTGTGTCCAAAACAATAGCAGGGCCACATAAACTGTACAAAGAACTAAAATTTTGTGTAGGCCCTCAGTAGGCCCCGAACCGTTCCCCACAGCTGGTTTTCAAGAGCAGCACAGCCTTTGCTGTGTCGGAGGGAGGTATTCCCAAGAGAGCCAGAATGTGAATGAAAAATCACTGAGAATTCCCAACACTAATGAGTTTACCTTTCCGTTGTCAAGACTCAAGGTTAGATCGACCTTCTTCACAAATAGTAAGACTGACCCCCCCTGGAGAAGAGAATGGAGGCTACCCCTCAGGACTAGCTAAATCTTGGGGTGCCGGGACAGGGGCAGGCTGAACAGGATCACCTCCTCAAAGGCAAGGGTGATGACCTATAAGAAAAACAGCTCTGGGAATGCACCTTTCCCTGGTCAGAGCCCAGTGGCCATCATCACTTGGCGCCCTTCTGACAGCTGTGTCGGTGACATCATGGGGACACAGTCCCGCCGTGTGTTTCATGGGCATGCTATGGGGAGGCCACAGTGGAGGCTCTGTGGCAGCCTCTGCCGTACCCCAGGTCTGGGGCTCTGGTTGCCACCCCGTCGTGCAGGGGTGGGTCCTTGGGCACAGTGAAGGACCCTCCCAGCCCCACCCCAGCCCGCGGTGCCGCAAGCCCGTGTGAAAGCCGGGGCAGCCTCAGGCTTTGTCACTGAACCAACCACCTCCAGCTCACTGCACGGGGGGAAATAATGAGAGCTTGTGGTTTTCCCTCCAAGTGGTCCCCCGGTGCTAGGTTCCCCCTCCTCGGTCATCAAACTGCCCAGGACCTGGCCCACTGCTCAGTGCAGCTCCCCACAGCCAGCCCCAGCACGGCCACCTCCGCACCCCCAGCCTCACCCGCCCCAAACCATAGCTGTCACCCGGGGTCAGCTCCTCAGTCTCAGCGGGAGGGTTTGGTCTGGAGCCTCTCCCTCTATGTGTTCTCTCTGGGCATCTGACTCCCAGTGTTTCCCATCCAGTCTTCCTGGCCATCTATGGTCCAGCTTGCTGTTAAATATCCCCCCCAGGAGTCACCCCAAACCCCAACCATCGCACCCACGCCTCCATCTTCTGTATCTTAGAGGGTCCCACAACCACCTCCCAGAGGTGACCCTGCCCGCTCATCCCCCCTCCACCAGCCCCATCCAGGAAGCTGGCCCACTCTCCCCCCATGCTCAGTGCGTCTGAGCACCCTTCCCCCGCCTCTGCCTCATAGTCTGAGCTCCCATCAGTCCATCCTCTGCACTGCAGTTCATATGCTCCTAATAAAGTGCAAATCCTGCTCCAAACTCTCCATGGCTCTCCATGGCCTGAGAGTGAGCCCAGAGCCTCCGCCTGGCCTCCGAGGGCCAGGGCTAGGCTCTGTCACAAGCTATGCCCCCCGCCAAGAATGCTTCCTCCTCCACACCCCAGACACACACACACACACCCCTACCACGTGCCCAAACATGACTAACCCCTCTAAGATAGCCCTCCCTGCAGGAAGACTTCCCTGATCAGACCAGGTCGTGTTCTGCCCTCGCACCCTGACTCAGCCTGTCGTCATCATAGTAACTGCTGTGGTTGTTTAACACTGTCCCTGCCCCAGACTCAAGAGGGCCAGGACCCGGGCCTGTGAGCTGGGTCTGGAGAGAGTTCAGTGAGTGTGGGATAAACAAACAGGACCATTCTGGTCCTTGACCTTTGTCCTCCTCCTCTTGTTTGGCTAAATAAGAAGCTAAATATTAGGAGTTGCTTTGGAAGCAGAGAGATGTGGTGGAAAGAATGATGAGAAATGGATTCTATTCCAGAAAAGCAGACTCCCTTCTCCAGGCCCAGTGTCCTCCGAGGAGCGAGGGTTTAGCTGATCAGAGCTCCTGCAAATCCAGACCTGGGCTCTGTCCCAGGAGGCTCCCTCCGGCGTCTTGGAGTGGTGCCTCAGAATCCATGCCGCTCCTGACACTCAGCTGCGTTGCAGAGCTCCCGACTCTGCAGTCCCCACAGGCTCTGAAACACTAAGTCTGCAGCCCGAACACAGACGTCAGAGCCAGATGGTAACCGCCCTCTCCCTGTAGGCTACAGAAAGCATCAAAATGCTGGTGGCACTGTGTCAGTCCGACGTGGAAGAAATCAGGAACGTGGCCTCCGAAACCCTCTTGTCTCTGGGTGAGTCTTTTTCACATGTTTGCTGACATGTCTTTTTTTTTTTTTAATCCTCACCTGAGGATATTTTGGGTTTTTTGTTTTTGTTTTTGTTTTTTTTGCATTTTTATCTTCAGATAGAGCGGGAGGGAGAGAGGAAGGAAGAGAGAGAGAAACATCAATGTGAAAGAGACACATCCAGTGGTTGCCATCCAGACGACCCCAGCCAGGGCTGGGGACAAACTGCAACCGAGGTACGTGCCCTTAGCGGGAACCGAACCCAGGTCTCTCTGGTCCGCAGGCTGACGCTATAACCACTGAGCCAAACCGCTGAACCAAACCAGCCAGGCTTGACTTCTGAGTCTTAAACAGAACTGTCAGGAGAAGTTTCATATGCACTGTTGTAGCAACTCCCCACCATGGCTACCTGTTCACATGCACACACGCGTCCACCGAGCACGAGGACCGGTCAGTCTCTGTATCACTAGCTTTCCGTCACAATAGTTCTGATTGGGCTAATTATTTCCATCCTAGTCTCGGTGGTAAACGCACAAAAGCGTCTTATCAGTAGTCATCTGTACTTCATTTTCCCATTTTCTGATAATATTTTTATTCATTTATTTATTTTTCTTCACTGATTTTAGAGAGAGAGCAAAGGAGAGAGACAGAGACATGGATGAGAGAGAACATCGATGGGCCGCCTCCTGCATGCCCCCCACTGGGGATTGGGCCCACAATCTGTACATGTGCCCTGACCAGGGATGGAACCAGTGACCTCTTGGTGCAGGGTCAACACTCAACCACTGAGCCACACCAGCCGGGCTCTGATAATATTTTTTTTTTTATCCTCACCCGAGGACATTTTTTCATTTTTTGTTCACATAGAGTGGGAGGGAGAGAGAGGAAGAGAGAGAGAGAGAAACATCAACATGAAAGGTACACATTGAGTGGCTGCCACCCAACCCACACGACCCAACCACGGCCAGGGACAAACTGCAACCAAGATACGTGCCCTTAGCGGGAACCGAACCCGGTTCTCTCTGAACCCCAGGCCGACGCTCTAACCGCTGAGCCAAACCGGCCAGGGCAATATTTTTAAAAATTATTATCAGCAGTTAGAGTGCTGGCCCACAGACCAAAGGGTCTCAAGTTCAATTCCTGATCAAGGGCACGTACCTTGTTTGCAAGTTCGATCTCCAGCCCTGGGATTGTGTGGGAAACAACCAATTGCTGTGTCTCTTTCACATCTCTCTCTCTCTTCCCCTCCATCCCTCCCTCCCTCCCATTCTATCTAAAAATCAATGGAAGGCCGGCCGGCCGGTGTGGCTCAGTGGTTGAGCATTGACCCATGTACCAAGAAGTCACCAGTTTGATTCCCAGTCCGGGCACATGCCCAGGTTGTGGGCCTGATCCCCAGTGGGGGGAATGCAGGAGGCAGCCAATCGATATTCTCTCTCATCAATGTTTTTATCTCTCTGTCCCTCTCTCCTCTTTCTCTAAAATCAATAAAGAAAAAAATTTTTTTTAATAAAAATAAGCCCTAGCTGGTTTGGCTCAGCGGTTAGAGCGTATGCCTGCAGATCAGAGAGCCCCGGGTTCGGTTTCCGCTAAGGACATGTACCTCGGTTGCAATTTGTCCCCGGCCCCAGTTGGGGTCATATGAGTGGCAGCCCCTCAAATTGTCTCTCTCACATTGATGTTTTTCTCTCTCTCTTCCCCCCACCCCCTCCCGCTCTGTCTAAAGATAAATGGAAAAAAAAAAAAAATGTCCTCAGTGAGCATAAAAAATAAATAAAAGTCAGTGGAGCCCTGACCGGTTTTGCTCAGCGGTTAGAGCGTCAGCCTGCGGTCCAGAGAGACCCGGGTTCAGTTCTCACTAAGGGCACGTGCCTCGGTTGTAGTTTTTCCCCAGCCCTGGTTGGGTCGTGTGGGTGGCAGCCACTTGATATGTCCCTTTCACGTCAATATTTCTCTCTCTTTCTCTGCCTCCCACTCTATCTGAACAAAAAATGGAAAAAAATGTCCTCAAGTGAGGATAAAAAAAAAAAGTCAGTGGAAAAATATCTTCAGGTAAGGATCTAAATAAATAAAAAATAGTAGATGACAAATGGAACAAAATAGTCAAATAATTTACAGATAAACATGGGCTGTTCAGGACGGTCCCACTGACCATGGGACTCATGCTGGGGGGCAGGGGCCGTCACCTGTTCACATGGCACACAGCAATTTTTCAGCTGAAGTTTGAAAGCCTAAATTTGACTTTTATGAACCACCATTTAGACGTGGCAATATACAATGTATAAAAGTTAAAGTTACGTAAAAGTTGCATGCACCAAAGTCAAGGCCCAGCCATGTTGAAATCCATAATGCACTTGAGGTAGATCCCACATGATTTGCAGTAAGAAATCTATTGAATGAAGTTATGGACACCACATGCCCGCCCACAGGACGTCTCTGTCCACATCCCGGCATTCTTCCCACCTCTGGCCTTAGCTCGCAGTTCTGAACACCACCTAGAAACAATGAATTAAGAATAACAGAAGATGACTTTTCCTTACCTAATGTTAACATTAGCAAAAATAGCAGTCCATGCCTAAGCAGCTGGTGGTAGTTTGTTCTGAGTGATTAATGGAAACATTAGGTTGACATCGGTGTTCATTTTCACGTTGTGATCCAGGAGAAGATGGGCGGCTGGCCTACGAACAACTGGACAAATTTCCCCGAGACTGTGTTAACGCTGGAAGTCATCATGGGACCGAAGTGGCCACAGCCTTTTAGTGACCAACTGGCTCTGCCTGACAGTTGTCTTTAACAAATGGGCATTTTGTTCCAGAGGCTGCTGTGATTTAGCTGGAAATCTGCCCCTGTAGACGAATTCAGTCCGGCTTCATGGCACCCACCCCCTCTTCCGTGGCCGGGCCACAGGGCTGCAAGTCATGCAGTAAATGAGTTACATCATCGACCGTGTCCGACCACTTCGTGAAAGAGCCCGCCGTGTCAGTCTGTATGGAATTTCAAAATAGCCATCTTTGTACTTTTCTTGGAAGTTCTATAAGCTTGAAACAGCCCTGTGATACTTTGATAAATATCATACAGCTTGTAATTTTTCTCTGTTGTGTTCTCAGGGTTGAGTCCCCACCCCTGCCCCCAGCTGCCTAATTTTACCTTAAATGCAAAGCACAAAAAATAATTTCTTCAAATAAAAGTTTGCCTGCAGCACCTGGTAGAATAACACATTGTGAGAGTTTTATGTTTTTAAATTTCACTTTTCCCCATGTCCACTACTTCTGTTTTTTTTTCTTCATCTCGAAAATCCCCAAAGCATGTTTCCATTGTGGTGAGGTGACCACCGACAACCTTCTTAAGATCTTACCTGTACTCATTAAAAACAAAGACACACACAGCATTAGCTTTTATTTAAAACAACAACAACAAAAAAAAAAAACAACCAAGAGCCATTTTTTAATGATATTTTTCAATAGAGGACTTTGCTGCTAAGACAAATCAAAACCAGAAGTCACGGACTCAGAAAGCTGGGGAGCTCTTTGAGATGTAAGAACGCGGAAGTTGGAGGGACATTAAAAGGGGTCCTTACTCTGGGAAATCCCCAGGGTGGTTGCCGCCCACTGCTGGGACCCCTTGGCCAAACAGTTAGAACAGTAGCTGCGCATTAAATAACGTGAAGACCGCTCAGGAACTTCTATACGTGACCTTTCTTTCCCTGAAGAAGAGACGAGGTGGGATATGCCAAGATACTAACCCGTGTGTGAGTGTACTGAACTGTACTTCAGGCTGTTTGTGTAAAATACCAGTGAGGTGTCAGTTTAGATGTTTGCATTTTAGCAGGACCTTGAAAAGCAACTCTGGTGGCACTTCAAAGTAAATGTTGTTTGCCGGGCTTCCTGGCTATCCTTTCAACTGTGAAGTTACATTGTATAATATATTTGTATATTTATACATATTATATACATATGCACATATCCTTCATTTTAAAAGTTCATTGTACAGTCTGTAGTTAGTATGTATAGTCTGTAGTCCATGTTAAGTGGTTGAAATGAGTCTTTTTATAGAAAGTCAAATCACAAATGTTACTGAGTTTTTTGTTTGTTTTTTGTTTTATGACTATTGCATGAGTAAATGACTGTATATTTTGTATTCACTTCTGCATTTTATTTTTTGGTGGGGGGGGGTGCTTTGAGTTTTGCAGCATTTGTATCCATCGCTGTTTCAATCCTGTACGTTAAAATAAAAATTATTTTTTAATTTCTTGTCTCATGCAGGGAGTTTGCCATATTTTTTTTCATGTACCCTCTTGAGTTGGTACATTCACACTATACTCCATGCTCATCTGGACTTGTGATCCTGAAATTCCTTCATCCTTAAATGGGGATAGTACTATTTACTTCTCAGATATTTTGTAAAGCTTCTTGGAGAAAAAAATACTGTGAGTTCCTTGAGGGTAAAAAGTGTCGTTATTCACCTGTGTTCCCAGCCCAACCCCAAGCGGCACCCATTGCTGTTGTCCATGAGACGGCGTTGCTAGGTGACGCGTTCCAGAGTTCCTGACTCTCGCGCTGTGGTGAGCGGTGGGACAGGAGTCCACACTATGGCCAAGAGCCAGGCTCCTGCGCGGTTTGGGACGTGGGTTTGTGGGTGTTTTGTGGGGCTGTGTCGGTGCCTCCAGAGGTTCTGGAGCATCCATATCATGGGCTTTTTTGTTAAGAAAAAGGAAGAACGTCTTCCTCCAGCTGAGAGTATATTTCACAAAGAAAAAATTGTGGTGCTTGGCCACATATTGAAGAACGAATCTCTGGCCATTGAGGAGAGGGCTCGAGCTGCCCACAGAATCGGCCTGCTGGCCTTCACAGGTACTGACTTAACCAGCTGACAGCTGTTGCAGAGCCCGTTAGCTCGGCACAACACTAAGTCAGCGGCCTTCGTAGCTCAAATCCCAGCAGCATAGCGGTTCCTTTGCCTAAATTATTAGGTTGTTTGTCTTTGTACCACAAAAGATACTACTAATTATTTTTTCCTCAAGAATCTGTATTTTTTAATGTGTCCATTAAATAAATTACTAATTAAGTGTTCTGCTTTTACTAATTAAAAAATACACTAAAATTGCCTGTCAAAGTTCTCGTTATCATTAAGAAAATCAAAGAATCTACAGAGTTGATATCATTCCAACCCAGTGAGTCCAACTACTTCACTTTTTATCTTGTAAAAGTGTCATGTACAGCAAATAGCTTAGAACAATAAATAAGAACTTAATGTTCTTACAACACCCCCCCTCCCCCCAGGAAAGCCAATAGCTGGCCGCACTCATGAGAAGCAATGATTAATGTCCACTTGGCTGGAAAATGAAGTGGTAAACCATCTACACACCACGGTCCAAACCAGTTCCTTTTTTGTTTTTCCTAATAAATTCCAGGATATGTAATAAAATTTTATGGATGATCCTCAATAAGACATCTCCTAATTATTTGTTTGTTTGTTTGTTTTTATCCTCACCCAAGGACATTTTTCCATTTTCTGTTCAGGTAGAGTGGGAGAGAGAGAGAGAGGAACAGAGAGAGAGAAACATCGATGTGAAGGGACACATCGAGTGGTTGCCACCCGCACAACCGACCAGGGCCGGGGACAAACTGCAACCGAGGTACGTGCCCTTAGCGGGAACCGAACCCGGGTCTCTCAGGACCACAGGCCGACGCTCTAACCGCTGAGCCAAACTGGCCAGGGCAGACATCTCCTAATTAGAAGCTCTGGCTGGTAGCTGTGTCAGTAGATTTTTTTTTTTGAAAGGGAAAGTGAGTTACTTAGATGTAGTTTGATAGACCAAATCTTTCCAGGAATGGTGCCTGGGAGAGAAACATTCACTGTTTTCCAGGACCACAGGGCCCTAGGTGCTGGAAAGGCTGGAAACTCAGACTCCCGCGTGGAGGAAGGTAAAGGCACCCACTACACTCGGCAGGCCCAGCCCCTTACCCAGCTTGTGCCCCATTTGGGGAAAGAGCTACTTACAAAAGGGTCAGAACCCTTTAATTTGATGTTGTTTAGCACCACCACCACCCCCAGCTGTACTGCAAGGGAAAGCTTATTTCAGCTAAGACTTTAATGTTGACTAGAACATTCTTGGGATGTAAGAGAAATGCAAGCTGGGTAAGAACTCCGGGGCTGGAATCCGGCCAACGGTCCCACCTTCTCCTCACCATCTAATAGTCTCCATCCCTGCCTTCTGGGCTCCTACCTTCTCAGAGTGAGATTTGAACTAGGAAGATCTGGGTAGGGTCCAGGACCAGGAGGGGTCAGTGAGCAGAGCAAGGGGAAGCTTGTAGTCACTCTGGTCCCGGGCCTGCAAGAGCTGGGCTTCGAAGGGGGTGAGGAGCACGGGAGGGAAGGGCAGGGCATCAGGCGACTCATGAAAAATTCCTCTGACCACCAGACCCAGCTTTGCAGCTTGGCCTTTGGTTTTCTCTTTGCTACCCTAATGCTCTGGGATTTTTTCAATTCCTGAAGACTGAGAATTAGCAATGAGACCATGAGGGAGGTTCACTAGGTGAACACAGGCCTCCTGGGTGCCTGATTAAAGGGGCCTCAGCAGGCAGGGACCAACCAGAGCTTCTCATATCGCTCCTTGTCAACATACATGTTTCCAAGCCCCCAAGTGTCCCTAGGTAGCAACAAGAATAGGAACACCTAAGCTCAACCGTTGCTGGCCACTAGGTACACCCAGTACTTCTGGAAATACCGATGTTTGTCTTACAGGAGGGCCGATGGCTGGGACGTTTGCAGCCGAGTCCATGAAAGAAGTAGCTCTCTTGCTACAAAGTCACAAGATGGCACCAAAGGCAAAAATCCTGCTGCTCCAGAGTGTGGCATGCTGGTGCTACTTAGACCCCGCCGCCCAGAACAGGGCCAAGCTTCTGCAGCTTATCCCAATTCTCACTGCAATTTTTGATAATGAACCTGAGTCGACCAGCAAGACTGAAATCAAGAGCGACCTCCTGGTGAAGTTTTGGACGTGTTACGTCCTCTCCGTCATGACATGCAATAACTTGCCCCTCATGAAGGAGCTGAGGGAGGAAGGCAGCCTGAAACGCCAGCTGCAGGTGCTTGCTGCTGGGGACTGGGCTGGGTGGCCGGAGAACTTTGCCGAGGTGCTCTACTTCCTGATCGGCTTCCACAAGAACTAGCTTCTCCGAGTGTCATGTCCAGCTGTGCTCTACTTCCTGATCGGCTTCCACAAGAACTAGCTTCTCCGAGTGTCATGTCCAGCTGTCTGCACCCCTGGAGGGCCCTGGAAAATGAAATAAATGATAAAAGCCAATATAGTATTCTTCAGTGTGTTCCTTTTAGGTAGTCAGAAATGCCCATGTAAGTTCATAGTCACTGCAAGAACTAAACGTATGGGAAACACCACTATTTAGAAATGATCTCATGAAGACTAAGGTCATAAAATGGAAATTCACAGGAAAACACGAGGGGCATTGGTAGGATGTGTGGGGTATTAGATGACAGCAATACAAGGCACCCAGAAATGTCAACTCCTAACTCAACCCACAGCCACCGGTGTTATGCACATGGGTGCGTCCAACTGCTATGTCCTGGCCTGAGGCTGATTTCTGGCTACCAGAAGGTGACCTTCTTGTACATCAGATAAGCATTTGATATCTAACTGAAAATTAGGTTCATCATCTAAAGGAAATTCTTCCAAATTCTCTTGATCAACTCAGGTCACAGTTACCAGGTGCTAGAAACTTATCCACCCCAAGTTTCCTCTTGAAGTTCATCCCGAACAGCCTCCCCTCTCCCGCCCCCCAAGATCCCTAGGCAACTGCTCTGCTTGCCCAAACTGGTTCGAAGTTACACTTTATTTAAACAGAAGCACACAGGAGGTACTCTTACCTGGCTTCTCTCACTCAGCATCACTGAGACCTTCCCATGTCATGTCCACAGCTGTTCCATTTTTATTGCTGAGCAGTGTCCATCGTATGGATACGCCACCATTTGTTTATGCGACCCCTCGCTGACGGACACTCTGGCTGTTACACACAACATGGAACTTGGAGGACTAGTTTCCATGTACACAGATGTGTGCTTTGCCATCTGACAGTTAAATGCTAGAGTGGTAAGGGGTCGTATGCTGCTAAGAACCTGCCGGAGTTCCGCAGCGTCTGCGGTTCATCACTGGCCAGCACGGCCGGGCTTCCCGCGGCCCCACAGCCTCGACACTTGCTGTGCCAGGTTGGTCTCTCAGACGTCAGCCATTCCGGCAGGTCCGCACAGGGTGTCACCAGGCTGGCCATGTGCTTCTCAGCGGCACGACGTGGACGCTCTCTCACGGGCTCAGCTGCTGCCTGGTATATTCCTCGGGGGAAGTGTCCAAACCTCTCCCGTTATTAAATTAGGTTCTCTACTCACTGGCGTGCGTGTTCTTCAGGTTCCAACCCTTTGTCAGACTCTTACAGATATGTTCTCAGCCTGTGGCTTGTTTTCTCATTCTCTTTATGTCCTTCAGAGAGAAGTTTTTGTGTTTTGTGAAGCCCGATTTACTGATATATTTTGTGCTTTTTGTGTTCTGTTTGAGGTGTTGGCCTACCAAGGTCACTACGAAAATTTTTCTTATTTTTCTAGAAGATTCATAGCTTTAACTCTTAAATTTTAAAATCCTCTCTTTGGCACTGGCCAGTGTGGCTCAGTGGTTGGAGCATTGGCCCATGGACCAAAGGGTTGCAGGTTCGATTCTGGTCAAGGGCACGTACCGCAGTTGTGGTTCAGTCTCTGGCCCTAATTGTGGTCCTGTGGGAGGCAACCAATCAATGTGTCTCTGTCATATATGTTTCTCTCTTCCTCCCTCCCTCTCTCCCTCCCTCCCTCCCAGTCTATCTGATGATAAATGGAAAACTATCCTCGAGTGAGGATTTTTTAAAAATCCTCTTTGGCTCCTGGCACCAAATCTTGGCGATCCATTTTTGGTGTTTTCCAGAAATACTTCCTATTTGTCAAGTTATTCTGTTCTACTTAGCTCTCCTTTCTTCCCCATTCTGACATCCTCTCAGCTCTTTTTCTTCTCTCCTTAACCCAGAATTCATTCTTTTTAAGCCTGGCCAGTGTGGCTCTGGATGGTGCTGTCCCATGTACTGAGAGGTCCTGGTTCAATTCCTGGTCAGGGCACACGCCCGGGTTGTGCAGGAGGCAGCCAGTGGATGTTTCCCTCCTTCTCCCTTCCTTCTCTCTAAAAACAAAAACGAAAAACAAAACTTTAAATCGTTATTATGATAAAAACAAACATGTAACATAAAATCAAGCTCTTCAATCTACGTCTAGGCTGGTGGCTCACCCACACCCAGAGCCCCATCTGACACAGCCGCCACTGCCCTTCTGTGGCTCTAAGCACGGCGGCCAGGTCTCCGCGCACAGCAGCTGCACACGGTGGACTGGCCAGCACACTGGGCCCACAGCCATTTCCAGTAGCTCAGGTTTCACTGGACACTTGCTATAGATGAACAGCTTCCGTTTTTAAAGACTTCATTCAGGCACTGTAGTAAAGGGGTTTTTACTTTATTTTTAATACTTACCCGAGGTATTTTTCTATTTATGTTCAGAGTGGGAGGGAGGGAGAGAAACATCGACTGAGAGGGACACATTAACTGGTTGCCTCCCGCATGACCCGACCAGGGCCGGGGACAAACTGCCACTGAGGTATGTGCCTTTGACCAGAATTGAACCAGAGACTCTGGTCCGAGGGCCAATGCGCTACTGCTGAGCCAAACCAGCCAGGGCTGTAGGAAAGGTTTTAATCCTCATAATAACAGAGATAGACTTTATCTCAACATTAGGAATAAGGCATTCAAGTTCTGTAAGGACAAATAACTCGCCCAAAGCAACCCTTTAATGCTTGACATTGCTCCCTATCGCCAACGTAGACACCTGTGTGCCTCAGAACACATCTAGTCCCAATGCTGCCTGCTCTGCAACGTGCCCTTGTCCTTCTCCTTCACAGCCGTACGCACGGGAACCCTCACTAATTTCACACGGCTCATATTCCTTCTCTACTTTGTATCAAATGTGACAGTGTGAACCCTTTCAGAACCGTAGCAACTCCTGCATCTCGTCGCTGGATTCGCACCACCCCTGTCACCCTTCATTGTGAGCTTTGAGGGGCCTGATCATACCAGCCAGCCGAGCTTTGATCTGGCTGATCAGAGGCACATGAGAGCTTCAGAAACTACACTCTCACATCCATTACCAAAACTGCTCAGGAAGAATATCTGGTCATGAGGCCTGGAAATAACAGGCCCTACAGTGAGCCTGAGGTACAACCAGCTTTTGGAGGAACACTTCAACCATTTTAGTCTAAGGAGACACAAATTCATTTTCCTTGTTCCTCCAAAATAAGAGCAGAAGAGAAAGAAAACAATATAAAACCATAACACGAACAAATTTTATTCCTCAGACTTCATTCTTCCAAGAAACACACGATGCTCAACAGGGCACTGAAGTTTATTTAACATATAAACAAATTGAGTCTGAAAATCTGAGAAAATATTATTTACATAAAACACCATAGATTAAAAATACATAGTATTTGTATTTTAATACAATAGTAAGTCCCAGGATCCAAACAAGGTTAGATTTCTAGTCGCATCACTCAGCTGTGTGCTCTGCTACCAAGAGCCCAGCGGAGGACGGTGCTGGGGCCTTGCGCTGCCCACTCGCAAAAGCTCACGCGCAGGGCCCCGCCTCCATGGAGGGAGGCTCAGCTTCTTCAGCACAGGCGCCAGCGTCGGGGTCTTCAGAATCCTCCCCAGCCTCCTCTTCAGAGTCAAACTCCTGACTATCTGGTGAGTCCAAATTTTCCAGAGATTCTCCTTCCAGTCTCTTTTAAAGAATAAACCAATAGTTTACTGTAACCACTTTAAACCTAAGTCCATTATCTGAATGCTGACTATAACTGACCCTCAATGTAATGAGGTTCTCGTCATAGTGTCTATTCAATTCACTGACAATCCAGGGTTCGGCCCAAGTCTCACTGTGCTGATCGCCTTTCAGTTAAGTCACATGGCTCAGGCCTCTGCTCCTCGAAGGCCCGGACCTGCCTCAGGTGAGATCAGTGCCCCTAGAACCCCCACAGCGAGGACGGCGGCCGCACTCCCCCTGCTGCGGACGGCACTCTCCAGGCGGTTAAGGTGGCTCGGACAGTGTTTCCAAGGGAGAACCTCAAACATTAAAGTCTGTCATGGCCCGAAAATGTAAGCCATTCAGTACAAAAAAGGTTTTATTTAAAAATCTTACCCTGGATGGTTTGGCTCGGTGGTAGAGCATCGGCCCTCAGACCAGAGTTGTGGGTTCAATTCTGGTCAAGGGCATGTACCTCAGTTGCAGTTCAGTCCACAGCCCTGGTTGAGGTTGTGCAAGAGGCGACCAATCAGTGTGTTTCTCTCCTCTCTCACATCGATGTCTCTCTCTCTTTCCTGCTCTATCTGAAGATAAAAAGGGGAAAAAGTATCCTCAGGTGAGGATTAAAAAGAAAGAAAAGAAAAAGAAAATCTCTCATCCCATTGGCAAGATGATCTTTTGCAAACATGAATAAAATTTAAGACTTCTTAGGCTAAGACTGAAATAGTCCTGAGGCTAATTCTTTCAAACAAATTAGCTACTTCCAATTTTTTTTTTTTTAATCCTTACCCAAGGACATTTTTCCATTTTTTGTTCAGATAGAGTGGGAGGGAGAGAGAGGAAGAGGGACAGAGAGAAACATCGACGTGAAAGGGACACATGGAGTGGATGCCTTCCACACAATCCAACCAGGGCCGGGGATAAACCGCAACCGAGGTACGTGCCCTTAGAGGGAACCAAACCCGGGTCTCTGGACCGCAGGCCAACTGAGCCAAATCGGCCAGGGAGTTACTTCCAAATTTTAAAGAAAGTCAGATTAGCACCAAACTTATATCAATAAACAGCCTTATAAATAATAGTAATGTCTCGCTGCCATTAAAGTTGAATTAAAAACTGTCTAAAAATGTTTCAACTGTGAAATATAATACTTTCCCATAATCTTTCAGATTTACGTTAATTCTTGTTATATCCCTACAAGAAAACACGTTCTGCAGCCTCACAAGCAGCAGCAGCGTCTGAGGTTACCGGCTCTCCTGTGTGCAGACACTGCTCTCACCACTCATCCACTACAACTCCTCCTGACAAAGCTGCAGAGCAGGTCCTCTTACGCCCATTTCACAGATGAGGAAAATGAAGCCCCGACAGGATACATTACCTGTTCGACTCAACCATCTAAATAGTGCCAGGCGGGGAGCTCAGACAAACCCAGGAGTCTGAGTCCAGCGCCCCCAACCCGCCTCACCACCCTCACGGCCTCTCACACAGGGATGGCTGCACTGTGGGAATACCCACCTGTAGGACCTCTGCCATGTACTGCACATGCTCTGCCACTTCAGCCAGTTCTTGATTCTCCTTTCGCAGGCGGGCGATTTCACTGTCCTTCTGCTCAATTTCTTTATGAAGCTGTGTGACAAAAACAGCGTTCAGTGTCCCAGATGCCCATGCTGCGAACGGAAGGACGGGCCTCCCAGGACGTAACCTACAGACACATCAGGCACGAAGCTCCGAACAGAGGCGCCGGCTTGGGCTCTCAACACAATACACTTCTTTTTGTACAGTAATTCTGCTAACAGTCGCCTAATGAAACTTTCTTAAGCCAAAATTAAAGCTAGTTTATATTGCTCTATCCAAATATGCTACGCAGCGAATGCAATACTGAAATGTTAAAAATGTCACCAACTCTTTCGCACTTACTTTCTCGTTTTCCTTCAGGGCTTCATAGAGAGCCTTTCTCCGTTTTTCTGCCACTTCTTTCCAATATTGAGAGGACGGGTTTTCTAAAATAAATTAATGTTTTACATGTAACTCTGAAAACCACTCTTGTTACATGCTACTATAAAAACCCAGTAATTTACCTATTTAAAAAACAATTTAGCCCTGGCCGGTTTGGCTCAGCGGTTAGAGCGTAGGCCTGCAATCCAGAAAGACCCGGGTTCGGTTCCCGCTAAGAGCATGTACCTTGGTTGCGGTTTGTCCCTGGCCCTGGTTGGGTCGTGTGGGTGGCAACCACTCGATGTGTCCCTTTCACATCGATGTTTCTCTCTCTTTCTCTTCCTCTCTCTCCCTCCTACTCTATCTGAACAAAAAAACAATGTCCTCAAGTGAGGATAAAAATAAATAAAAAACAATTTACTGCCCTGGCCAGTTTGGCTCAGCGGTTGGAGCATCAGCCTGTGGACCAGAGTGTCCCGGGTTCAGTTCCCACAAGGGGCACGTACCAAAAAAAAAAAATCACAATCTATTCGGTACTACCCATATTATTTAGTAATACCCATTTTTATAAGACTAAAATTAAAAAACCATGTCAATTTTTTTTCTATTTTACTTCCCCCAACATCTTTTTTTTTTTTTTTTTTTATCCTCACCCGAGGACATTTTTCCATTTTTTGTTCAGGTAGAGTGGGAGGGAGAGAGAGGAACAGAGAGAGAGAAACATCGATGTGAAAGGGACACATCGAGTGGCTGCCACCCGCACGACCAACCAGGGCCGGGGACAAACTGCAACCGAGGTACATGCCCTTAGCGGGAACCGAACCCAGGTCTCTCCAGACCGCAGGCCGACGCTCTAACCGCTGAGCCAAACCGGCCAGGGCCTTCCCCCAACATCTTAAGGATTTCAGTACATCCCACGGAGGACCTGTAGTTAGGGTTCTGTGCTCAGTGAACGGATTAAGTTCCCATCTATCTGGCTGTATCAGCAATAGGGCATACAGCCGAGCTGTTTCTGGGGGTGACTAGTTTTTGTGCTACCAATCCTAACCAAGTCAGATGTGTCAGACGCTGCGGTTCACTCTACAATATTAAAGAGATTCTTTACTTCTATGCAGCCAACCTTTCCTAATTTTGCCTAATAAAACCTGCTGCCTACTTATCTTTTTCCTTACTGTCCTGCAGGCAACTCAGAATGAGCCCAAGTGACACTATGACCTTGAGTAAGTCCATTAGTTTCTCTAAGCATCCACTTTTTTCATCAATAACATCATCAATCTTCCACAATGCTTAAAACCATCACTGGCATTCTCTTCTGGTGCCGACTGCCATTCCATTACAAACTAGTCTCTAGCCTGGCCAGTGTGGCTCAGTGGTTGAGCATCGACCCATGCACCAAGAAACTGCCAGTTCGATTCCTGGTCAGAACACATGCCCAGGTTGTGGGCATGATCCCTAATAGGGTCATGCAGGAGGTGGCCAGTCGGTGTTCTCTCTCGATGTTTCTGTCTCTCTCTCCTTCTCCCTTCCTCACTCTCTCTCAAATCAATAAAAAAAAATATTACAAAAAAAGAGAGTCTCTAGCCTGGCAGGTGTAGCTCAGTGGTTTGAGCGATGTCCCATGGACTGAGAGGTCCCAGTTCGATTCCTGGTCAGGGCACATGCCAGGGATGTGGGCTCCATCCCCAGTGGGGAGCATGCAGAAGGCAGCTGATCTATGTTTCTTCCTCACATCTATGTTTTTCTCTCTCCCTTCCTGTCTCTAAAAAAATCAATGAAAACATGTTTAAAAACAACTAGTCTCTATCACAGGCACAGCACCTTTCCGTCACTCCGTGAACTCCAGCCATTCCTCTCCCTACTTCATATTCTCCTGGTGCATTCACATTCCTTTCTTCAAATTCAATCTCTAGCCCTGGCCGGTTTGGCTCAGCGGTTAGAGCGTCCGGAGAGACCCGGGTTCGGTTCCCGCTAAGGGCACGTACCTCGGTTGCAGTTTGTCCCCGGCCCTGGTTGGTTGTGCGGGTGGCAGCCACTTGATGTGTTCCTTTCACGTCGATGTTTCTCTCTCTCTCTCTGTTCCTCTCTCTCCCTCCCACTCTGTCTGTACAAAAAATGGAAAAATGTCCTCGGGTGAGGATAAAAAAAAAGAGTAAAACAAAAAAGGAAAAATGTCCTCGGGTGAGGATAAAAAAAAATTTAAAAAAAAAAAAAATTCAATCTCTAGATACTTTTGTTCTGAAAAGACTACTTCAGCTCTGGCCGGTTTGGTTCAGCAGTTAGAGCGTCGGCCTGCGGTCCGGAGAGACCCGGGTTCAGTTCCCGCTAAGGGCACGTACCTTGGTTGCAGTTTGTCCCCGGCCCTGGTTGGTCGTGCGGGAGGCAGCCACTCGATGTGTTCCTTTCACATCGCTGTCTCTCTCTCTCTCTCTCCCTCCCGCTCTTTCTGAATAAGGAATGGAAGAACCTCCCCAGGTGAGGATTAAAAAAAAAAATTATAAAAAAAAAAGAGTAAAAGACTACTTCAAGTCCTGGCAACCCCATTATCTGAGATGCCATGTTAATCACTGTCCTTTTCTTTAATATTCCATCCACATACATGCTCTTATGAAACAATAAGACTTGTCCCAATTCAGTGTTTGTATATTTACAACCATAAGAAATATTAAATTATCAAAAGATCACAGTAAACTCTCTAATAGTATCCCCAAATTAAGAGGCTGTGGGCAGAATTCATCACAATATAACAAATAACATGGTCATTTATTACAATTAAAGTTTCTAAGCTAAAAAATTACACATATACTTTCCTCATACCTGTAACCATAAGATCAAATGCTTCTTGGGTAACTCCTCCAAGATCTTTATTTTCACTATCTTTAGATGTTAACTGGTCATTCCAATGTTTCCTTCTGGACAAGCCTTTAACCAGCTACAATGAAAATACACACATCAATCTCATTTACTTTGATCAAGAAAGCTGAATAGACTTGGGAACTAGAGTAGGCACAGCTTCTGAAGAATGTGTGTTTAGAAGAAGGAAGAACCTCCAGGGTAAGATACCATTAGAGCCCAGAGAAAAGAGGAAAAATTAGGGAAGAGGAGGAGGAGCCATTGGCTAAAGGCAGAAATTAATATCAGAAGAGCCCTGGCTGGTTTGGCTCAGGGGTTAGAGCTAATGGACCAAAGGGTCTCAGATTTGATTCCGGTCAACAGCACACACCTGGGTTGCAGGTTTGATTCCCCAGCCCCAGTTAGGCTTGTGTGGGAGGCAACCAACTGACATCAGTATACATTCCCCCCCTTCACTCTCTCTAACAATTAACATATATATATATATTTTTTTTTTTTTTGATTCAATTAACATATATATTTTTTAAATGGAGCACACATCTGTCTGTATCTTTCTGACATCTTTGGATCTTCTTTTTAAAGATCACACAATTTAAAACTCCACCCAAATGTATAGGCATATTTTAGGAATTTTATTTGCAGCAACTGCTTTGGATTAGATTGGGTCTAAGCCTTAACTGAAATTATTTTTACTGTTTAAATAATTCAGTTCCATGGAAAGGCAATTATTTTCCACCTGCAAAAGTCCAGACACCTTCGTCCATAATTTTGTCATTTATATACAAAAATAAATGAAGGCATCTATCATTTTATTCTCAAAACAGCTACCCTTCCTCCTAGATTAATTCATAGTATTATCATATCATCTCAGTTCCACCAACATCACACCAGCTTTCTGTTCATACCAGTTTTGAACTTCCTCACTTGAATCACTAAAACAAAAACCAATTTTGTGGGGAATACACAATTGTTATTCTGAAATTATTTCCAAATTTCAATGATATAGGTATTTCTTTTTTTTTTTTTCATCCTCACCCGAGGATATTTTTCCATTTTTTGTACAGATAGAGTGGGAGGGAGAGAGAGGAAGGGAGAGAGAGAGAGAAACATCGACGTGAAGGGACACATTGAGTGGCTGCCACCCGCACGACCAACCAGGGCCGGGGACAAACTGCAACCGAAGTACATGCCCTTAGCGGGAACCGAACCCGGTCTCTCTGGAACGCAGGCCGACGCTCTAACCACTGAGCCAAACTGGCCAGGGCGATATAGGTATTTCTAACCAAGGAAATCTCGCAAGTATAGTTCCTGCTTAGGTATCATCTCTAGCCCTTTCTAGCCCAACAATACATACCTCTTTTTCTCTTCCCACAAGGGGTCCCGCTGTGGAAGGCTGGATCATCTTCAGGGTTCTTCTTGGGACAGGACTGTTCTAAAAGTCAAGAGAATTCATGACCTGGTTACTGAGAGCTATATGGACTGTTTCTGTCTTACACCTACTATAATTTGCAAAAGGAAACACTGATGGGGGAGGCAAAAATGAATTTATAGTTGTGAGTCTGCGAAACACAGATTTTATACTTTTGTCAAATTTCTTTTTTCTTTATTGATTTTGAGAGAGAGAGGAAGGGAGAGGGAGAGATAGAAACACTGATGAGAGAGATCATCCACTGGCCGCCTCCTGCACGCCCCCCCACTGGGTATTTGGCCCACAACCTGGGCATGTGCCCTGACCAGTAATCGAACCAGCGACCTCTTGATGCATGGGTCGACGCTCATCTGCTGAGCCACACTCGCCGGGCTAGAGTTTATTCTTGTATAACTACTTATTAATAATTATATTATTTCCCTACAAACAACTGTAAACCTACTTTGCCCCACCCTGAATTTGGTCTGGTATGTAATTTTATAATGCTACAACTGAATAAGACATTGGTTTAACCAACTAGCAAACTTATGTCCCTAAAATTATAATAAAGTTTGAAGAATTTCTAGGACTACATCATATCACCCAAACTTGACACATTTATGGTAGAAACCCAAAAACAGGTAAACTAGGGGGAAAAGATTAATTATTTATACCAAAAAATACTTCTTCCTCTAATCAGTAGGATTCGCCTCAGACTTCCTTTGAATCATGACTATCCCCTAACACATTTCCACGTGCTCACCAAAGGAACATAGTTTAAGCACATACTTCACACAACACCGATACACATGTAACACCCCCCTTACCTGACAGTACAAGCAGTTTGCTTCAAGCCCATTTATTAGGGATCAGCTAGAATGTCAGTGCTGAGGCACACTAAGTACTGCAAAGGCCCATGGTATTGTTTTGGAAAAAATATAGCCTTCCTTGTAATATGTAAATACTTTCCTGTATATTTACTGATCTGAAAGCTCACTAGTTTTGCAGAAAATCATTAGTTATTCTGCCACCACGGGATAGCAAACAATGGTGGTACTCAAACAAGGTCAGCAAGAACATGACACCAAAGCAGCGTGAGAAAGTTACTGGCTGCACACTGCACTTCAGAGCAAGGGCTCACCTTTCCCACGATCAAGTTTCTCCTGCTGATGACTGTCTCACTGCTTAAATGAAGAACAAACACCACACCAACATTTCAGATATAATTTAGATGAGTCCACGTCTCCGTACAAATAGAAACAAATAGAACTTTGGAGCCTTAATAATAGGAGGTGTTTATTTATTTATTCCTATTTTATTTTATTTTATTTATTTTTAAATTTTTTATCCTCACCTGAAGACATTTTTCCATTTCCTGTTCAGATAGAGTAGGAGGGAGAGAGAGGAAGGGAGAGAGAGGGAGCGCGAAACAGACGTGAAAGGGACACATCGAGCGGCTGCCACTCGCACAACCCAACCAGGGCCGGGGACAGACTGCAACCGAGGTACGTGCCCTTAGCGGGAACAGAACCCAGGTCTCTCTGGACCGCAGGACAACGCTCTAACCACTGAGCAGAACTGGCCAGGGCTTTTAATTTCTCTTTTTTTATTATTAATTTATTTTTGTTATAGATGTTTCTCCTCCCTCCCTTGACACCCTCCTCCCAATCCCACCCCTGCCCCCAGCATTGTTGTCTATGTCCATTGGTTACGCATACATGCATATAAGTACTTTGATTTATCTTATTCCTCCCCTTCGCCCCCTCCCTCTGAGGTTTGTCAGTCTGAACTGTCTTCCGTTCTAAGTCTCTGGGTCTATTTTGTTCATCAGTTTATTGGAGGTGTTAATTTATTTAAGTGCTGGCTACTAACAATGACCAAAGAAGCCAGCTAAATTACTGTCACAAAAAAAGACAACTTCCAGGACTTAACTTTTATATTATAAGCCTTATACATCTATCCCCCAAACTGTAATATTGTTATTGTTTTCTTTAGATTCATTACAGCCAGAAAGGTTCTTATATATTATGGGTCTTAATCTTTTTAGAAAACAATTTGAGATTCTACTAACCTCTTTAAAAACAAAAAAAGCACACGAGCACACTCATATAATTTTGCATATAATTAGCAAGGAATCCATTAGTAGAATGAAAGCAATAATAATCAATAATAATCTTGTTTATAGAAATTCCTAAGGCAACTATTATACACTATTAGACCTAAAGTTCAGCAAGGTTGCAGGATCAAGATACAAAAATCAATTGTATTTCTATACAGGAACAACGTGCACACTGAAAACTTACCTAAGGAAACAATTCCATCTACAATAGCATAAAAAAATACAATATTTAGGAAAAAAAATTAACAAAAAGAATGTAAAACTCAATACACTAAAACTACAAAGCATTGTTGAAACTAAAGACTTAAATAAATGGGAAGACAGAAAATTTAATATCCGCCCTGGCTGCTTTTGCTCAGCGGTTAGAGCATCAGCTTTTGCTTAGCGGCTAGACCCCGGTTCGGTTCCCACTAAGGGCATGTACCTCAGTTGCGGTTTGTCCCGGGCCCTGGTTGGTGGTGTGGGTGGCAGCCACTCGATGTGTCCCTTTCACGTTGATGTTTCTCTCTCTCTCTGTTCCTCTCTCTCCCTCCCACTCTACCTGAACAGAAAATGGAAAAATGTCCTCGAGTGAGGATAAAAAAAAAAAGGAAAATTTAATATTCAACCATAATTAATTCTTTAATGGTTCTATACTGTTACTTTTCCTCTGGCCACATGCTTTCCACACAGGTGAAAGTGATCCTATCACATACCTTCATGTGCTCTCCGGTCTCTTCTTGTTTCTGCTTCACAGAGGGATACATTGTGTACCTGGTGAAGTACAAGAGCAGTCATTCAAAATCAGAATATGGTTCGCACCTGAAGGCGGAGCCTGGCAGTTCACTGCAGCATGGTGAAATGATCTTTTCTTAGCCCTGTCAAAGACTCAAGTGACTGCAGTTAGTGACTCTCCATATCTACATTTTATTTAAACATACAGAACAATTCTGGTTGAAAAATCTTGTTGCAAAAGGAAAAATATGTACATTCTCCACAAATACACAAAACATGCTGGGGGCCTGGGTGAAATACAAGGCTCTCAGAGATCTGAGAAATACCACCAGGAAAGGCAAAGCACAGATGCCTGGGGACGCCCAAGTCAGTCCTAGGAAAAAGCACCCCAATTTCGCCTATTCGAAGGCAGACAAGCTATGATAAACTCAACTCTGGCAACCAGCAATAACTGACCGGCTTAATATCGGACCAAATGAGATTTTGCTTTTACATTTGTAGGAAATGTTTAAACACCACCAGGAGCTGATATACTGAGGCAAGAGAGAGCAGCAGATAAAGGGATATGTAATGAAGTTAATAACAACAGTGGGTCAGGCTGAAACCCTCATTTTTTTCTATTTCGTGTGAAGCAAATGCTGGTCAGGACCCATTAGATTGAGCCAGGACGATGTTTTCCAAACTGCAGGTAGAGACCGGGACTCCACAGTCGGTCATTCAGTGGGTCACCAACACCGTTTAGAAAAAAGTAATTGATGGCAATGTAACTAAAAAGATGTGAAAACGTCGTGTCCGGCTTGTGGGGAGTTGGTCCTTTTTCGTGAACGTTCTCGTGCAGCTGGATGGCTACGTCTAAATTGCGATGCAAACTGTGCTTTCGTCCGTGTCACAGTACACATGCTGAAAGCCACCGATCAATCCTCCACCTGTGTGTCGCGCTGCTGTCGGCAGCCTTGCGCCCTACTTTCGCTCCCCAGTTCTTTCCAACCAGATCAAAGACGCCAGCACCGGCCTAGGTCCCAAGGAAATGTTGACGCGCAGGGCAACCGGTGTCACCAACACCAGCACCGCTGTTTAACTGGGGCCAGGATTCAGCGACTTCCCTCGACCCCAGTGTGCGGACCCTTCCCCAGACCCCGATCGCCTCCAGCGCCTGGTTCAGAGTGGACGCTCCGCCCCCCCGACAGCCCGGCGCGGAGCAGAGACCACGCCGCCAGCCGCACCGCCTCCGGACGCCGACCAGCTCCCGGCCACGGGCTCCGATCGCGCGCCAGCCAATCGGGAGCGCGGACAGGGAGCGCGCCAAAATCGGCCTAGCCAATGGGGCGGCCCCGCGCCTCGCCGCCCGCCCCGCCCCAACACCCACTTACCGCGATCCAGCGCAGATACAGGAGGGCCGGTTTCGGCGGGCGGGAGCGTGAAGGGCTGGTCGGGCACCCCCGCGTACACCTCCTGCCACCGCTCTCGCTCGCTGCAGCTAGCCGCTCAGTCCTGGCAGCGGCGCCCGTCCCCACCTCCGCCTAGCAGCTCACGCGCTGCGGGAAAAGCTCGCTAACTCCGCTGCCCGCGCCGACTGCCACGTGATCCTGCCAAGCGGGTGTGGCCGCCCGACCCCAGCCAATCGCCGCCCGCCTCGGCCCCGCTTGCCTGCGCCTGCGCAATGGACGCTGGTATCTCCGCGCCAGGAAGTTGTCCCGCGCCCTGACCTCTGACCCCGCTCGCGTGATGGCGCTGTATTGCGGGTAGAGCCGCTCCCACCAGTCGCAAACACGGGCTCCCGAAGACTGCAAGAGTGACACAGGGCACTGTGGCCTGGATACCCCCGGGCCCGGAGCCCGCCCAGGAGACCAGCTCCGCAGCTGATCCACAGTTTGGCTCCAGCCCCTCTAGTCTAGATTGACAGCCGGCGTCAGGACTCATCAATCGCCCGAGGTTTTGAGGGCTCTTCTTTCCTGAGTTTACCCTAGCATCAGTCCTCGGTAGAGGCATCTGACGGGGCCCGGGTGCCGCCCGCACTCTAAACAGCACCGCACTGGAGAAGGTGCCTGAACCCTCTCCCTTGCCCTGGCTCATTTTGCCCTTGGCCGAGCAGCAGCCTGGCTTCTGGCGGGTGGCACAGACCACACACATGCTCCTAGAGAGTGTTGCGCTTGGACCGGCTTTGCCCAGAGGTTCCCTGGGCTTGCCAAGAGCACGGAGCTGAAGGGAATGAATGTCCGCAAGCAGAAAAGCTAGCAGGGATACTGGGTCGGGACCCAGTGCGGCTGAGAACCACACTTTCCTCGGGCTAAATCTCATGGTCATTTTCCATTTCTGTGCCATCTGCGGAGAGGGAGGCAGATGGTCACTGCACTCCAAATCAAGGGCTGGGAAACTTTTTTCTGAAAAGGGACTGATAGTAAATAATTTAGGCTTTCTGTATTATATGTTGTTTGTTTGTTTTTACAACCCTTAAAAATATAAAAAACTGTTGTTAGCTCTCACAGGACAAAAACGCCCTGGGCTGAATTTGGCCTAAGGACCACCTTTTTGCTGACCTTTATTCTACATAGTTGACATTCTTAAACTGAAGAGGAAAAGGGGGAATCAATCTAAATTACTTTCTACTAATCCAAGAAAGGCTGTTTTCTTGCAAGAGACTTGATAAAAGATTCTGAAACAGGTGCATGAAAGAATAATTTTCTTCCTTTCTCAGGGGAAAAGAAAAGTGAGTTCCATAGGCAATCCAGGTGCAACTACATAGGCTTATGAAAGAGTCAAGGCAATTCACAATGAAAATGTGAGTCCCTGTTAAAAATCATGAATAGCCTCAGTGGTTGGTGTGGCTCAGTGGTTGAGCGTTGACCCATGCACCAGGAGGTTGCCGGTTCAATTCCCAGTCAGGGCACATGCCCAGGTTGTGGGCCTGATCACTAGTGGGGGCATGCAGGAGGGGGCCAATCAATGTTCTCTCTCATGGATGTTTCTCTCTCTCTCTTTCCCTTCTTCTCTGTCTAAAAAAATAAAATAAAAAATCATGAATCATTTTGAGATAGTGGCAGCGGAGCAGTAAAGCTGCACAGCCCCTTCCAGCCCCTGCTCAGGGGCACGCTCACATAGCAGGCCCACCCCTGCCTGACCCAGCCATCACCAGACACAGCCCCATGACCGTAAACCAGGTATCCTTTCAACTTTAAGTGCCTTCCTGTAACTGCCTCTCCTCTGCAGAACACCATTTAGGCTCAGAAAACCGGAGCCAACAACACCTGAGGGTGTGTTAGATTAGAGAAAAGGAATGAATGGCTAACCTGCCCAGAGGGCGTAACTAAGCTCTGAGCAGGAGAGAAAGGTGCCCTTCAAGCAGCTCTCCCTTTCATAGTTGAGATTCCTGTCCGGTTACAGTCCAGTCTGTCTTGGAAGAGAACTGATGGAATAAAACAAATAATTCCAACAGAATGGTGACCAAAACCTCAGAGACCTTTCCATAGCAGAGCATGTAGCTGTCCTCCATTCCTTTTTAAACTGTGTTTTATCAAAAGATAAAATATTGTGCAGATCCCCATATCACCTGAATGGTAGGTGAATGTTCTCTGTAGGATTTTTCACACTAGTGAGGAAACAACACCCATGCTGGGGATTGGGCCTGAACTGAGGTCAGCGGAGACTAGAGAGAAAAAGAACCAAAAATACAACATTGATCAGGAGATAAGGAACATGGAAGGAGGCAAGCTGAGTCCTTTAGTAAGTGTTTTGTTTTATTTTGTGTTTAAAGAGAGGGAGAGTCCGGCTGGTGTGGCTCAGTCGTTGAGAGTGGACCCATGCACCAAGAGGTCGCCAGTTCAATTCCCGGTCAGAACACATGCCCGGGTTGTGGGTCAGATCCCCAGTGGTGGCCATGCAGGAGACGGGCAATCAATGTTCTCTCTCATCGATGTTTCTATTTCTCTCTCCCTCTCCCCTCTTTCTCTAAAATCAATAAAATAAAAAATTAGAGAGAGAAACATTGATTTGTTTGTTCCACTTATTAGTGCACTGTTGGTTGATTCCTTTTTTTTTTTCTACTTATTATCAGATAGAATGGGAGGGAGGGAGAGAGAAAAACAGAGAAACATCGATGTGATAGAGCCACATCGACTGGTTGCCTCCTGCACAACCCCACCAGGGCCAGGGACGAACCTCAATCAAGGTACGTGCCCTTGACTGGAATCGAACCTAAGACTCATTGGTCCGCAGCCAATGCTCCAACACCTGAGCCAAACTGGCCAAGGTGATTGGTTGATTCTTGTATGTGTCCTGACCAGGGATCCAACTCACAATCTTGACTTATCTGGAAGATGCTCTAACCAACTGAGCTACCTGGCCAGGGCCAGTTTTTTGTTTGTTTTTAAATGAAGTAAGAAAATGAATATATGAATCAACAAAATGCAGAAGATAAATTAGCATGTAAGATGAGCATTAATAAGCAATATATACAGCCCAACCAGTGTGTTTCAGTGGTTGAGTGTTGACCCATGCACCAAGAGGTCACCGGTTCTAAAAGGTCTGAGCTGGCGGGAGACCACATCCACAAACAAGGCCAGTGTAGAGCAAAATGGCTTTATTGCATACGCCTGGGTGCAGGCAGGCTGAGCCGAGAAGGGGTCAGCCTTGAATTATGGTTGGGGTTTGGTTATATACCCTTTTTGTAGCTTTTGGCAGTTCCTGCTGATGTACTACTCTGTCTGGCCCGTTATCCACCTTGCAGTAGGGCGTTGCAGTCAGGCGTTGGGGCACTGCCTCACCCAATGGCCATTCTGATTGCATATAAAGCAGGGACATGGGGATCCGCTCTGCTGATCCTGGTGAGTGGCCCTTCTTCTGTCCCCGGAAGGTGGTTTGCTGACCCCTTTGATTAGTGGGGCCTCTGATGGCAAAAGCCAGCATTTGGAATTCTGCTGTTCTTTGCTGTTTAGCCTCTTCATTGCAATTATTGAACACCTTAAAGGCTAGATTTAAGAGTCCCCGTTGAGGGGTTTGAGGGCCATCTTCCAGTTTTTGTAACTTTCTCCTAATGCCTGGGG